AATGCAAAAACTCTTGTATTTTGTTAGGTTACTTATGGTTATGGTTAGGGCAGGGTGGGGGTTAAGGTTGTCATAGTTAGCGTTAGCATTTTTCCCATTGAAATTAATGAGCGGTCCCCATAAGGATATGTTTACCCTACATGCGTGTGTGTGTGTGTGTGTGTGTGTGTGTGTGTGTGCGCGCGCGCCTGTTTGGCACCTATTCCAATATTGCACACCGGAATGTAATGTATGTGCACATCTATATATTTCACTCTCAGGGGGCAGCACCATAGCCCCCTTCCCCCATCCATCTCCCCACCCAGTACATGTGGAATTTGTGAGTTTTATATCCCCAGGCTGTGCTGGTTCCCTACTTAGTTTTTTGATTTTATTATTTTTGTTTGCAGAATGTGGGTGATGTGTAATGCCTGCTGGTGCTCAAACTCAGACACATGAGCACTGCTGCCCAGACCTTAAGCTTGACCTCTTTGTCTGTGTGGTCAGTGTCTTGAGTTGCAGCAATGCCTAACCCTAACCCCACCCTTAGGGAAGGGATGCACACCACACCGTTTCCCCCATTTGGTGGGAATGACATAAGAGCTGAAAGCTTTCAGGCATCCTGAGCTAAGGCACCATGCCTGAAAAACTTAATAGTTTCAATGGGCTAACTGTCTGTTTAGCCATTAATCACCATTGATCAGTTTCTGCTGAGCCATCAGATTAACAGTTGAACACAGGTTTTATTTTTGATAATACTGACAATTTAATGATCAAATGCCCAACCCCCCCCCCCCCCCCATTCACACTGTGCTGTTCAAGGGTCTTTTGGGGGAGGGGGTGTCACCACCTGTCTTTCAGTCCCTTGTTCACAGTTCATCGCACTGCTTGTTCCATCTTATTCTCCCTCTGTCCGCCCAAAACTCCTGCAGGTCCTCTGGTGTGATTCTAGGCCTCTCCCAGATCTCCCCCGCCTGCCTCCTCTTCTGTCTCTCATGGTCTCTGTCCTTCCTGCGCATTCCCTCTCTGCTTTGGGGTGATGAGGAGGAGCCGTTTGCGTACCAAATCTCCACTCTCTCCTCTATCGAGGCCCTAGGCTGGGTCCATAGAACCCCCACATCACACTCCCCACTCCCACATTGCGACTGCCTTGGTCTCTTTCTGCTCCGGAGGAAGGAAAGGCGCACCCACAGGAACACTGTAAGCCCGAAGAAGACCGAAGCAGTCATACTCAGCACCCATAGGATGATGAGGCAGCCCAGCTTAGCGGATCGAGGTGAAGACAGTGTTTCCACTTCTTCACTTTGGCATGCTGATTGGTTTCTGTGTGTGACTGCGCCACTGGTTATTAGTCCGCTGTCTGTCGTGCTTCCTCCAGGAGAGATTGCTTGTGTGACTGTGGGGGCATTTGTGCTCACATCAGTCTGTGACTCTGTCCCCCTGTGTATGCTCGTGTTTGGTCTCTCACTGGGTGCGTCGGTGCTGCTGCTGTAACTGTCAGAATTGGGTCTGTGTTCATTGATTGGTGTCCCTGCTGACTTGCTGTACACAGTGCTAGGCTCCGTTAGCCTGTCATCATCTGCTTGGTTCCTGTTTGTTCTAGCCTGGGCGTTCCTTGATGATGTGCTGTAGGTGTTGTGTTCTGGTGTTGATCCAACACTCCAGACCTCCAGGGAGCTCCTGGGGGTTCTATCTGCTGTTGTGAATCTGTTTTCCACTCCAGTTTCACGTCTCCACCCTGAGGGTGAGGGGCCTGAGTCTGACGTCAGCGTCCACGTTGGTGTGGAGCTTCTGAACTCGGGTGTAGCGGTCTCTGCCAGCACCCGGGAGCTGACTGTGATCACACGAGAGTGTCGCAGGCTGTCTGTCTGACTGACTGCCGTAAGCTCGGAGGCAGCTGGGGTTTTATTTCGGTTGTGAGGCTGAGATAACGTGAAGTCTGGGACAGATGCAAAAATAGCAAAGAGATAAGACAGAGAGAGAAAAACAGACACTGGTGACTGCTTCATTATCTGAAAGAAGGAGAGAGAACGGGATGAACGTTAGTACAGTTATAATGTACTGCGTTGCCGTTGACGAAGGCAGCCTCTCACGACATGGTTTCATTTCTGGTATTCACTGGCCACTTCCGTGTGGATGATAGCCGTTTTACTCAAATAAAGTATGTTGTGCTCAAGTGAAAATGGTACTTCTGTGCTGAAATATTGCACCAAAATGGCATCTTGACGATGTCTATAGATAAATAAAACAGAAAACATGCCTACCTGGCTCTTTAGTGCTCTGTCTTCCTTGTCATCATTTCCTTGTTTGCTTCTAAAAAAATATCCTGTGCCTTCTGGGAAACCACTAGCCCCCCCCCGCCCTCAAGAAACTGGGTATTGACGGTGTGCAAAAAGGTTTAAATATGACAACAGAACACAGAGGCGTGTCCGTATGAGGCAGGATGTGGCCACTGCTCTCTGAGAATGAGTAAATCATCCTGTTCAGTTTGCTTTCAAAACCCACCAAAGGAAAGCATATTCATGACCGTGCCAAACAGCTGACAGGCAAAATTATAATACATAAGAACTTTATTAATGCCAAGGGGAAATTCTTTTCAGTAGCACTGTAGGTAATTAAAGAGCATAAAAACACGCACATGTAGTGCAAAATTAGACAAGATAGTACACAAGTGCAAGATACTACACATAGTGCAAATAAATGTAAAAAGTACACAGTACACAGACATTCTGAGAAAGATTAAGCAAATAGATATAAATACAAAATAAATCAACAGAAGGCATATGTGTGTCGTGACCGTGCAGATGGGGGAAGCAGGCGAGGAGGACGAGGAATTGGGAATAAGGGTTTTAATAGACATTTGGAGAGGTAGACAAGACAGAAAACGTCATAACACTACAATGACAGAACTAGGGAAATAGACTGACGTGGACTTAAATGCAGAAGACAACAACTTGAAACAGCTGATGACACCGGGAATCCACATGAGGTTTGGACGGGCAGGTCATAACAGAACCCCCACCAAGGTGCGCACACCGAGTGCGCCCCAGGGGAACGAAGGACAGGACCAGGGACATGAACGAGGACTCCACGGGACCTGGGAAGACAAAAGAAAACATCAACGGGGCATAGGAAACAAAACCGACACATAAAACAGGCACAAGGACAACAACCCAGACAACAACTGACATACCACGGGGAACGCAGACAAGCACAAGGGCATCAGAAAAGGAGACACAGGGGAAACACCAACAGGAGAAAAGAAGGGACCTGCAAGCCACGAAGGCACAGAAGGACAGGAAGGAAACACAGGGGGCATAAAGGAACCATAAGGCACTGAGGGACAATGGGGAAACACAGGGGGCACAAAGGGACCAGAAGACGACAATGGTGAAGCAGGATGGCGAGTAAACACAGGGGGTAAGGAAGCTAAGGGCAAGCGGCAATGGGAAGCTGAAGGGACCCTTGGAGGGCGTAAGGCGGGGGCCACCGGAGCAGCAGGCGACCGTGAGGCCGGAACAGGGGCTGAAGTGGGTGCCGAAGGTGGCGAGGAGGCAGGTAAAAGGGTTGGTGGAGATGGTGATGTGGGAGAGGAAGGGGACAGTGGCAGAGGGAAGGAGGGAACCGTAGCTCTGGCAGGCGGGGGCGCAGCCACAGCCGGCCCAGGCGCAGGCGACCGATGAGCTGCAGACGGGGGACCAATAAGGCATCAGAGACCGGGCCGCAGCTGGCCGATGAGTTGCAGGCGGGGGATCTGTAGGCGACTTACGAGCCGCCGGATACCGGGCCGCAGCCCGCCGATGAGCTGCACGAGGGAGTCCCGCAGGCGGTCGTCGAGCCCAAGTCAAGGGGAGCAAAGGTGAACCAGGCAGCTGGATGGGTGGTACTCGTCAGAGACCGACAGATGGGGACCCGGCCTGGATCCGTCACAACGAGGCGGAGATTAACGTGACCCACCGGAGAGGTCCACTAGTGCAGTCAGGGTGATCCCTGAGGGGTCCCACTCAAGCTCCTCCTCTAGCTCCATCACGGAGGGTGGAGCAGTGGTCAGATCATCAGGGACCTCCTCAGGGACAGGGACTGGGGTCAATGAAGCTAGGGGCACGGGAGCAGGGTCAGGAACCTGGGCAACTGGAGCTGGGGGATCTGCAGCCGAGGGATCATGGACCCGGGGACATGAGGCCGAGGGATCAGGGGAGGCAGAGCGTCAGCAGGTGGCGCAGCAGCCTCTGGGGGTGGCGTGTCGGCTGCCAGGGCTGGAACCTCGAAGGGCGGTGCATCGGCCGCTGGGACTGGGGCCTCGAAAGGCGGTGTGTCAAGCACCACAGGGACTGGAACTTTGGTCGTCGGAGCAGGGACCTCGGGCGCGGGGACAGATTAAGAATCGGGAGGGAATTTTCCCAATTCCGTGGAGGGAAAGTAGCGGAGACTGTGATGGCTCCCTGGAGGACCAATGGCGCTTCCTCCCATCACCCGCTCTTCCACTTTTTCTTCCGTGCTGAGGTAAGTGGAGTCGGAGGCACTTCGGGCAGCAAGCCATCTGGCAGTCCGCAGTCCAAAGCGACCCATCTCAACATTGACTCGGCAGCTGCTTCCCGAAGCTGCCGTACAGTTGAGCGCACCTCCTCAGCCAGATGCACGTCTCCGAGCAGGGACATCTCTTCTAGGACATCCCGCCCTCGGTAGGCTAGGACCTGAAGCACGGGATCATCCCTAACTTTGGGTTGTATCACCTCGTCGGTCAGGTCGGGTCAGGTAAAGACGAGGCGATGTTTTCTTTTGGAGTTCTGTCATTCTGTCATGACCGTGCAGAGCACGGACCGGGGAAGCAGGCAAGGACGACGAGGAATCGGGAATAAGGGTTTTAATAGACATTTGAAGAGAGACAGAAAACGTCATAACACTACAATGACAGAACTAGGGAAACAGACACTGACGTGGACTTAAATGCAGAAGACTAATGAAAACAACTCGAAACAGCTGATGACACGGGGAATCCACACGAGGTTAACGAGGGGGGCGTGGCCACAAGAGGTTTGGATGGGCAGGTCATAACAATGTGCAACAAGGAAAAACAGACAGCACTGGAGGGAGCAGGGCTGTTCTCACAGCCATTAAGCGCTTTTATAATGTGGGCTCTGTAAAGAGAAGTTTGTGTGTTTTGTGGCAGTTGGGGTTCCAATGCGATGCTAATCCCCGATTCGATCACACTGGCTGATCAGCCTATACCCTTTGTCCTTTGTGCTGAAGCCTGCTCTCTGTGCCTCTGAATGGTGGATTACCTCAGATTAGCAGAATGAGATTAAAATCAGAGTGAGTGTGGAAGTGATTGAGGCCACAGTCAAACAGAAGCTGTGCTGGTTCCACAATCAAAAGAAAGAAAGACACACTGAACAGAACCAGCAGGAGAGGTGGGAGAAGGAGAATGGATGATGGGGAGTTTGGAAATGAGAGGGGGAGACAAAGTGAGGGAGGCGAAGAAGGAGAAGAATTTCAAATAACGATGAAGAGAGGAAGTTTAGACAACAATGATATGGAGGACTGGAACGGGTTATTTAGTGAAGAGGAGTCTGTGGATGGGGTGGAGCAGGCTGGACCTGGGACTTCTGTGACCCCAAACAGCGTGCTGAGGCTGAAGGCCTACACCGAAGGTGAGTGTGCAAGAATCACAGTGCATCCACAGCACATCTCAGTATGGCAGTTCATTAATGCATGTGTGTGCGTGTGGAGTGGGGGGGTGGGGTTATGTTTATACCAAATGTCCCCACAATGTGATGAAAACCTGTGATTTTGATATTGTGGGGGCATTATTTTGGTCCCCTGGGAAACTCAGTTTTTTTTTTTTTAAATCTGTGACTGCAATCAAAAAACTATGACTGCCAAAAGCCTTGTATTTAGTGTGGCTACTTATGGTTAAGATTAGGGCTGGGTTAGATTGTAATTGTTGGGATTAGGGCAGGGGTACCCAATCTTATCCGCAAAGGGCTGGTGTGTATGCAGGTTTTCGCTGCAACTCCCTAATTAGATTACTAATTAGAGGACTGATTGGCTGAAAGAATCCTCACACCTGGGTTTGAACAGCTGACCTACAAGTTATCCCAAAAACCTGCATACACACCGGCCCTTTGCGGATAAGATTGGGTACCCCTGGATTAGGGTTTTACCCATAGAAATGAATGGAGATTACAACAAAGATATGAATACAAAAGTGTGTGTATGTGTATGTGTGAGTTTGTTTGTGTGTGCGCACGCATGTGTGCCAGTGTATATATTAGGTACAGTTCAATACAAGGAATATAATACACTGAATCATCCAAGTAACTTCACTAGATGATCAGTTTGATTGTCACACTTTGGGCCCAACAGGAGCACCATAGCACCTTTGGCTTTAGCACATAAGAAGGTCCAGCATGGACCTTCTTATGAGCTGTGACTCATTCTGGATTAGCAGCAGCCACTCTAATACAAACCCATAACTCCCTTTATGTCCAGATATAAATAGCAAACGGCACCTACATGGAGTATGTACCTGCAAGACTGCTCACTGAAGACAGAAGAGGAACAAACCATTATCTATTTGATTCACTGATTTAGGCCAGATGAACCACACCACATGGCACTTTGAACACACACTAATCTTTGGTGCTTTATTGTACTCAGATTACCTTTGTGCTCCTGAAGACAACATCTATAACATCAACTTCTCACGTTTCAAAATTCGAGATTTACAGACAGGAGCCGTCATACTGGACCTCCACAAACAGTGCCCAACTGGTGAGTATCTGTGTTAGCCTGATAGCGAAAAACATGGGTGACAACTCCATGCTCCAAATGAAAGTGGACAGCACTGCCCTCTGTCTGGGTTTTGCTTTAACTGCACCATATGGTCTCCCTTTACCACTAATAGAGCTGATAAATGCATTTTCATAGTAAACAAGACTTGATAATGTCAGACAGCATCAGGAAATCAGATGGTACATAATCATCTGCCCTTTCAATACCCGATGGTAGGAGCATACCCTTCTCTCTTAATATTGGATGCTTGATGTTGCTTACACCTTCATTTCCATTCTCCAACATCCAAGTCCGGGACATGTGGGCAGCAATCTGTGCAGAGATGTCAAGACCTCCCTTTCCCCAGCCAGCTCCTCCAGATCCCCTGTTGGAATACTGAAGCATTCCCAGGCCAGATATGAGATATAATCTCTCCAGCATATCCAGAGTCTGCCTCTGCTCCTGTTAGGACATGCCCAAAACACCTCCTCAGGAAAGTCTACTGTAGGCATCATAGACAGATGCTCAAACCAACTTAGCTGGCTCCTTTTGATGCGGAGGAGTTTTACCTCAATTTTGAGGCTCCCCAAAATAAAATGTCTAAAAGCCCAGACACCCTGTTAAGGAAGCTCATTTCTGCCATCTCATTCTTATACTTAAAGTACTCTGCCTGAGGCAGTAACTCATCCCCAGCATGAGGGGTGGGGGGGCAATCCAACATTTTCTGGTTGAGATCCAGACTTGGATGCACTTCACACTCAGCTGCAAACCACGCATGTTGCAGGTCACAGCTCAATGAAGCCAACAGGTCCACATCACCTGTAAAAAGCAAATATATAATCCTAAGGTTGCTGATTTGCACACTCCCCACCACCTTGGATGCGCCTAACACTTCTGTTCATAAAAGTTATGGATAGAATCGGTGACAGAGGGCAGCCCTGGCAGAGATTAAGGAGTGTGAACCTCCTGAAGTTGGAATGCATCCTTAGAGTCCCCTTCGTTATAGACTGGGACCACCATCCCAGTCTGCCAATCCATAGGCCCTGTCCCCAACCATTGGAGAGGCATAACAGCTAATACAGCAAATGACATCCAGAGTCTTTAGGAACTCAGGGAGAATCCACTACTGGAGCCTTGCCACTGAAGAGTTTTTTTTGACTACATCAGTGACCTCAACCCTAGTGATGAATGAGTCCTCCTCCAAGTCCAAGTCCTCCTGTAACTGAGATTCAGGAAGTCCAACAAGTACTCTTTCCACCATTGGACTATATCCCCAGTTGGGGTCAGCAGCACTCCCTCTTTGTTGTAAACAGTCTCTTGATGGGTTACCCAAATTTCTTTGAGGCTGACTGAAAGTCATTTTCCATGGTCTAACTGAACTCCTCCTAGCCCCCAGTTTTGGCTTCTGCAACTGCTAAAGCTGTACTACATTTGGCCTGTCGATACATATCACCTGCCTCCAGAGTCCTACAAGCTGACTAAACTCAAAAGACCTCCTTCTTTAGCTTGACTGCTCCCTTTACCGCTGGTGTCCACCACCAAGTTTGAGGGTTGCCACTGCAACAGGCACTGACAACCTTATGGCCCCAACTCTGCATAGCCACCTCAGCAATGGAGTCAAGGGATATGGCTCATTTGGGCTCAATGTGTGCAGCCTCCCTTGGAATACAAGAGAAGTTCTGTCGGAGGTGTGAACTGAAAACAGGGGCCTCTGCCAGATGCTCCCAGCACACCCTCAGAATATATTTGGGTCTGTCGGGTCTGTCCAGCATCTTCCCCCTATCTAATCCAACTCATCACCAGGTGGAGATCAGTTGATAGCTCAGCTCCTCTCTTTACTTGAGTGCCTAAGATATGCAGTCACATGTCTAATGATACGACTATAAAATTGATCATCGAGCTACGGCCTAGGGTTTTCTGGTCCCAGGTCCCCTTATGAATTCCCTTATTCTTGAACATAGTTTTTGTTATTGGCAAATAGTGGCTAGCACAAAATTTAAGTAACAAAGCACCACTCAGGCTTAGATTGGGCAGGCTATTCCTCCCAATCACAGCCTTCCTGGGTTCCATGCTGTTATCCACATATTTGTTAAAGTCCCCCCCCCAAAAAAATGGAGTCCCCAGAGGGGGCACCTTCCAGCACCCCACCCCAGGTCTCCAAGAAGACCAGATACTCTAAACTGGTTCTTGATGCATAAGCACATACAAAAGTCAGAGCCCATCCCCCTGACTTAAAGTTGAAGGGAGGCAGCCCTCTCCTTCACTGGGGTGAAGCCCAGCGTACAAAGGCAGAACTGGAAGGCTATAAGTAAAGCCACACTTGCTGAACACCTCTCACCTGGGGCAACTCCAGACTGGAATATAATCAGGCCCCCCTCCAGGAGTTTGGTTCGAGGGCCTGTGCTGTGCCTTGAGGTGAGCCTGACCATATCTTGATGGTATCTCATTACCTCCTGCATCATCTCAGGCTCCTTTCCCACCAGAGAGGTCAGCTTTGGTAGCCGGAGATCAGTCCACAAAGGGCTCTACCTTCAACTGCCGCCCGATCTGAAACGCACCAGACCCTTATGGCTCCTCTTGGTAGGCCTAGGGGACAATGGTCCCATTTAGTTCATTTGGGCTATGCCTGTTCGGGCCCCTTGGGTGAAGGCCCAACCACCAGGCACATGCTGATCCCTGTTCCAGACAAGGTGTCCGAGTCCTTGCTTTTATCTTTCATAATTGCACATTGTCTGGTGAATCCCAGGACCAATTTGCCCTGGAAGGTCCTACCAAGAGGAATTACCACCAACAACATGACTCATAGGATCACTGGGACAAGCCCCTCCCCCACTGTGGATTTGCCTACCTGCCAGCCTGCCTGTCTGTCTGTCTAAACTGCATCTTAGAGATAATATCCATGCTTCATTTTGTACTGCTATCTTTTTATAATGATATTAAATGTCACTCTTTCAGAAATTAAGGATGCAGTTGACACAAACGCGGGAAGGTTTATCCAGTATCGCTTTAGCCCCACATTTCTGGCACTGCGAGAGATAGGAGCCACGTAAGTGTTTCTGTTCTCTAGTGGACACACTAAGGTAATAGTACTCACTGTTAGAATGCATAGTGCAACAGTACTTGGTGTGAAACTATTTGTAATTGAAGTGCTGCTAAAAAGGCTGAGTGTAAAGCATTGTGTTTATGTCACACTCTGACTAGGTTGGAGTTCACAGTGGGGGCCAAAGCCCTGAACAAGCTCCGGCTGATTGAGAGGCACTACTACAGGGAGCACCTCTTGAAGAGCTTTGACTTTGAAGTTGGCTTCTGCATCCCCTTCAGCAGAAACACCTGCGAGCACATCTACACCTTACCGGAGCTGGACCCCCAGACAGGTCCGTGACTTTCACAGAGACAGTCTGAACGGGGTGAGAGAACCTTTGGGGACAAGCTGTGACTTTTTGAATGGTTCGGGACAGGATCAGGACATTGTGATGAAATCCTGTTTTATTGTTTTAATCATCCTCCTATACTAACCCAATGCTCCTCTGACCCTCCATCCAAACCCCCTTCCTCCCCCTCTTCTTATCACCTTCTGATCTCACCTTTCAGTTGAGGAGATGATCGCTAGTCCATTTGAGACCAAGTCAGACAGTTTCTACTTTGGCAATAACAAGCTCATCATGCACCACAAGGCAGAGTATGCGTTCTGTGGAGACGAGAGGCACCAGCACTGATGGAGAAGGACTGTCCTGCTTACAGCCACCAGTGACACAAACTGTACAGCTGGAACAGGATGGAATGGAGCAGTCTGTGGTGAACATGACCAGACACACACACACACACACACACACGTTTCTATTCACATCTTTGCAGGGACTGTCCATTCATTTCTATGGGTAAAACCCTAATCCCAATAACATCCTTAACCCCTACCCAGCCCTAACCTTAACCATAAGTTACTAAACAAAATACAGGACCTTGGCGTTTTTAGTTTTTCACTGCAGTGACAGATTTTTTTTTATATAAAATTGAGTTTCCTCTTGTGAGGACTGAAAAAATGGTCCCCACAATGTTAAAATATCAGGTTTTTAATCGCATTTAGTATATAATTAACAGACACACACACACACACACACACACACCAAGGGAAGGCATCACAGGCTTTTCTCCTGTAAATTAGCTGTGATACAATGCTATTATATTTTTCACCATGCAATACTGGTTGTCAAATAAAATAAACTTCAAAACATACACATCTATTTGTACTTGTGCCTTTTTCAAGCTTGAATTGAGGAAAGCAGAGTGAGTAAACAAATGCTTTAGCCAGTGTTCCTGTTTTAAACGCCTCTTTCCCTCCTCTCTTCAGCTCACCTGCCATTTCTTCTGATGTTCAGCTCTCCTACAAACATCCTCTGCTATTTTCACTCACACAATGCCGTATATGTTTGGTTTTGCAGCGGGCTGCTTCCTGTTAGCATTATTACCGGGCATGGGCACTCCTGATCAGGGTGGGGGTTGGGGGGGGGGTGACATTTTCTCCCATTCCATCACTTTGCACTCTTTTTCCTTCCAAACTACGGCTGAGCCATTCATACATCCACTTTGTTCAGCTACACTTACAAAATGAGCACAGCCCCCCTCTAGGGCTAGAGATGGTGTGTGTGGACAGTTCCTAATGAGAGAGCAGGAGGCACAAGTCAGTTACCCGGTCTGTTGTCCATCACGTTTGTCAATATTCACACTGTTATGCAGCAGTACAGCTGTATATAGGATGGTTAGCATCTCCCAGGACCTCATCACGTCAGTGGTTTCTGGTCTTTGAGAAAGGAAGGTTGTTTGCCTGTCTATGTAACATCAAAGCTTTTTCTCTTTGTTGCGTCCATATTATTATTTATTTATTTGTCCGCGGAGAGAGAGGATGATGGAGAGAGAGTCCGTGTCTTAAGTGCCTTTTCTCATTTGCCATCGATTTGTAGTGGGAGCCCCGCCTAGTCCCAAGGGGGCGGAAAAAACAAGAGAGGCACCGAAAGGCATAAGGAGTCGTAATGAACAAAACCCGCTGCGTTTAACGGCTGAGTGAGCGGCTCCCCATACGCGGTGTTAAGGATGTGCTGTAATTACTGAGTGATGATGACACCCCGGGTCTCGTGTGGGAGCCGTGCAGGACGCTTTGTGGGGTGAGGCGGGTGTGCGTCTTGCTCCCAGTTTTTTTGCACTTGTCTTTAAGGGCTTTTCTGGGGCAAGTGTCACTATGGATTCCCGGCAGCTGCTCGGGGCTGCGCTCCTGCTGCTGGCTGCCTCGGCAGCGCTGTCAGCTCCGCCAGGAGTCCGGTACTCCCGGGCTTTGGTGAGTATTTATCTGCTATCAGGCTGTTCGTGTTTCCATTGCCATCATATTATAGAAAAATCTCATCAGTCATTGTTTTTTTTCCCAGTAATATGTGAAGTAATTTCAAAAAGCAATAATAACATTAAAATAACAGAACTGTAAATTATAGCGGTAAATGAAAGTAAAATAAGTAATAGTTTCATCTTTAATTTTATTGCCTCTGCTATGTGTACGAGTTAAACAGTTTTGTATAGGCCTATAGTATTTTGCTGTGAATTCCTTATGGGTCTGTATATATATGAAAGTTTTCATACTGAGATTACTTTATATATTATTCTGCTATTTATTATTATTAATAAATAATATTCAAATAATTATTATTTACTTAATGCAGTCCTGTTTTTATTGCCATAAGAGTAGGACTAAAATATTAATATTATAGAAATAGTAAACACGTCTGTATAAAGAAAATATGTCAAATGAGAAAAATGAAGAAATTGAGAGACACGTCATTTTTAAAAATGCTTAAATTTTCACCATGGAGCATTTTAAAAAGTGTGTGAAGAAACAGCTAGGCACAATTAAAACACCAAACCCTGCTTATAATCTGTGTGAGGCTCCACAATGGGTGATTATGTTAAAAAAAAAGTACACAGAGTTAGTATTGCGTATCACATCATCTTGTCATTCCTAACTACTGTGGTCCTATTTGTTGGGGGATATATAGGGAGTGAGAGTAAGCTGTGCAATTAACGAGCTTAACTCTCCCTTCATGCTGGCCACAGGACTGGCTGAGCCGGTATGGATACCTTCCGCCTCCAGATCCCCGCACTGGAAAGCTGCAGACGCGGGAAGGCATCGAGCTAGCCCTGAGGGAGATGCAGAGGTTCGCCGGGCTCAAAGAAACAGGCAGGCTGGGTAATGCAGCATCACTTCTCCCTGTGTTTGGGATGGCACCCCAAACTGGAGCCTGAACAGTGCACTTCTCCACCCGTCTGCTAGATGGCGCCACTCTCTCACTCATGTCCACTCCTCGCTGTTCTCTGCCGGACATCGTGGGAATGGCTGACTTGCTGAAGAGGCGGAGGAGGCGGTATGCTCTATCTGGGCTGCGATGGGAGAAGACGGAGATCACGTGGAGGTGAGTGTCACCTGGAGCCGACGTGCTGCAGGAAACCCCAGCCTAGCTCTGTTCATACCTCTTTCTGCTTTAATCTCTCCCTCTCACTCCTCCCCAGTGTACATGGCTATCCCTCGCTCTCTAGCTCGCCATCCCTCCCAGCAGATCTAGTTGAGCTTGTCTTGAGACACGCTCTGAGTGTATGGAGTGATGTCACTCCTCTGCGATTTTACCGCCTCTCCCGTGATGGTGGAGGACGGCAGGAAGAAGGGGACATCAGGGTCACTTTCACTCGCTCTTTTCATGATGATGGGTACCCCTTCGATGGCAGAGGTGGCACACTGGCACACGCCTTCTTCCCAGGCACAGATGCCCTTGCAGGCGACGCACACTTTGACGATGAGGAGACGTGGAGCTTTGGAGGTGTGGACTGGGCTGCGCTCTTCTGGGAGGAGTTTCTGGGTGCTGTCATTGTGTTGCAGACTGATGGCTTGTATAGGGAGTGAGACTTTTGGTGGGACTCTGCTTGGCAGGTGATACAGGAAGCACTGACCTCTTCACGGTGGCCATCCATGAGTTTGGCCATGCCCTGGGCCTCTCCCACTCCTCCTCTGAGCACTCCATCATGAGGCCTTACTACCTGGGCTCAGTGGGAGATATCCAGAAGTACAGACTATCTGCCGATGATAGACTAGGAATCCAGACCCTCTACGGTGAGCAGGGCTGGGTGTTGAAGGGGCGTTGAGAGGACAAGCATACCTTGGGAGATTTAGGGGACCCAGCGCTTTATAGGGGCCGTGAATATGAAAAATAATAATGTATATCCTCAGGAAATATTATGCATCCATTCCTACAGTAGCAGATTCCCAGGAATTTTGTTTGCAGGCCCAGATTTTCCAGCTATATCCCTGGGTGTTGGTGATGTGCTGGTACAACATGAACCTCCCTGCAGAACAAAATTCCTGCACACAGAATGAGTAGAAATATATGCCATAATAACATAAACATCACTTGCGAAGGTCATTTCCTTAGCAAATGAATAATGTTTCGTTACCGAATGGGCACCATGTATAAGAACTGCAGTTCTTTCTTGCAGGGATGAAGATGACCCCAATCACGGCTCGTCCGGATGTGTCACTCACCCCTGGGCTGCCACATTTCCCCTCTCCACCCCCCCCTAGACCAACCACACGGTGAGTATTGCTGGAAATGACTTGTGTATCTGCAGCGCCAGTGGAGAAGCTTCGACAATTACAATTACAGCCTTTTAACACAGTATTATAATTATTCATTTGCTAATTCTGAATGGTTCAGTAGGATCGGTCTTTAAGTACTGCTATCCCTGTTACTTTTATAGTGTAATGTTCTCTATGCTCACATGCTTGTCAGTTAATAATTCTCCGAAGGTCAGACTTTTTTAGTTTTAGTGAGAGAATTTGCATACATGCTAAGTCGCAAATCCACAGCATGCATCCTGTAGAGATGTAACACACCTTTACACACCAACGTACCCACCTTATGCCCCTGCCCCCCCAGCCTCGACCGAGCTCTGCCAAATCGCTGTGAAGGTGGCTATGACGCTGTGGCTAACATCAGGGGAGAGGTATTCTTTTTTAAGGGTAGGTGAAACCCCAATCAACCTGAGTTCACATACACTGACGTTGGTGAGAGCATGGTCTGCCCGTCTAGCACGACCTCAGTAGCTGCTGTTGGTTGGTTTGGAATGATCTCGGAAATGTGCACCCTTTGCAAAGCAGGAATACGGAGCTCTTCTGCTCCAGCACTCATACATCCACCACCTGCTCTTTAAACCCAGTCTCGTTTTTGTGATTTTCAGGTCCATATTTCTGGCGAATCCAAAGGTCGGGGTCCCTCGTCTCCCTATCCCCAGCTTTGATTAGGAACTTCTGGATTGGACTCCCCTCTGGAATTAATAAAATCGACGCTGTTTATGAGAGAAAAAGTGGCAGCCATATTGTGTTCTTCATTGGTGAGCAGCATGTCTATTTATTTTTCTTTAATTCATTTGAAGATCAGTCATCCGACTGAGGACTATGGAATGTGATGCTAGGGAAGTACAAACTCACGTAAATCCTTCTACGTGCTTGTCAGACAGCACATGGATCATTGCTTGTCCCGTTGTGCAGGTGACCAGTACTGGATTTTCAGGGATACGGTGGCTCTCCCTGGATATCCCCGGCCCTTGGTGGAGTGGGGGGTGCAAACAGTGGCTGGGAAAGGCCTCTCCAAGGTGGATGCAGCCTTTGTGTGGGCACACACAGGGAAGACCTACTTGTTCAGTGGGGGGGAGTTCTGGAGGTTTGACGAGTTGGGGAAAAAGGTGGGAATGAAGCCGGAGGGGGGGTACCCCAAGCAGGCCTCACTCTGGAAAGGGGTGCCCCCAGACCCAGATGACATCATCAGCTGGGGCAATGGTAAGAAAAGGGTCCATCCTTATCGTGCTACTTGTGCTACAGTACAATGACCAGCTCCTCCCAATCCCCACTCCAATCCTACCATCCTCAGTACCACCTTTGTAATTACCTTCCAGGAGACACTTATTTCTTCAAGGATGACTCCTATTGGGTGTTGAAAAGAGGGAGATTAGACCAGGAAAATGTGACCTCTAAATCCATATCAGCTGATTGGATGGGATGTGCACCACCACCAAGTCCGACACCTTCTCCCACCAATGGCAATGCTAAGTGCTATGACTGCATTTGTAAGAAGAATGGAGGGATCAAAGTTCAAACCTTTCATTGGCTGTTCTTGCTATCTGTCTCTATAATAATCCGGTCACTCAAAAGGTATTGAGTGGTTAACAATTTAGCATTTTCTTCATAATTGAAATTCTGTTATTGTTAGTCATCATTCACACACAGATGGGAAGATTTGCAAAAAATTATTCAAGGAAATAGTTTCTATTTTTTATTTGATCAAGTGATATAATTAATAAAGGAACTATATATATGAATGCAGCATATATTGAGTTTCATTGTATGGCTAGTAAAATATTGTTCATTACAATGACATTGTACATTTGGTTTTCATTAATGGATAACTCACATAAATATTTTCTCCACATAACCATAACCATATATAACCAATCAACAGAAGTGGTCATTATATGTTCAAGATACTCATGGAATCAAGAAGTACCATGTACTTTTATTGTTGATACAGGTGTGGCTTTAACTGAATTGTAACAGCTTTAAAAAAAAATTGTTCTTCAAAATAACCAAGTAAAACACTCTACATCGAGAGAAAAGAATTTTATTTATTTGGCGCTTAAACATTTTCAGAGGGGTATTTTCCGTACGCCGCTTAAATCATCTGAGATCAGATGCCTCCTCTTGGATGAGTTAATGCCGGTGAAACTCATCCAAGATAAGTCGGTTTTTCAAAGGCAGCTGTGTAGTAGACTAGTCTAGCTGGATCCATTCATCCGAGATGATGGCGTGCCCCTGTGCTGCTTGAAAAGCCCATAGAAACCTTGATCGACAAGTGTCTCATTGGCTTCTACAAAACGTCAAAAAACAGGTGCATTATTTCCACGCAATCTGAGCAGGACCTTTTGTTGCAGGGGTATGATGAATTCAAAGATTTAATATATATATATATATATCAATCCCTGGGTCACGCAGGGTGCCTTTCTGTGTGGAGTTGGCATGTTCTCCCTGTGCATGCGTGGGTTTCTTCCCATAGTCCAAAAACATGCAGGTTAGGTCAACTGGCTACTCTAAATTGCCCATAGGTGTGAATACAAGTGTTTGTCTGTGGTGGACTGGTGCCCTTTTTTTGTCATAATTACAGATCAAATACAAACACAATCATGCAATATTTTATATATATATATATATATATATATATATATATATATATATATATATATATATATATATATATATATATATATATATCCTATCCGATCTCCATATCCTCTCCTGGAGCCGACACCTAATCGTGGTGGAGGGCTTTGCGTGTTCCAATGATCCCAGGAGCTAAGTTGCCCGGGCTTTTATGCCCCTGGTAGGGTCACCCAAGGCAAACAGGTCTGGGGTGAGGAATCACGGTTTCCCTTGCCCGGACGCGGGTCACCGGGCCCCCCCCCCCTAGAGCCAGGCCTGGGGGTGGGGCTCGATGGCGAGCGCCTGATGGCCAGGCCTATACTCATGGGGCCTGGTCGGGCACAGCCCGAACAAGGCACGTGGGTCCCCCCTCCAATGGGCTCACCACCCATAGGAGGGGCCATAGGGGTCGGGTGCGATGCGAGCTGGGCAGTGGCCGAAGGCAGGGACCTTGGCGGTCCAATCCTCAGTTGCAGAAACTAGCTCTTGGGACATGGAATGTCACCTCTCTGATGGGGAAGGAGCCTGAGCTGGTGCGCGAGGTTGTGAAGTTCCGGCTAGACATAGTCAGGCTCACCTCAATGCATGGGTTGGGCTCTGGAACCAAGGGGGTGGGCATACTTATTGCCCTCTGACTGGGCGCCTGTACATTGGGGTTTACCGCAGTGGACGAGAGGGTAGCCTCCCTTTGCCTTCGGGTGGGGGGACGGGTCCTGACTGTTGTTTGCGCTTATGCACCAAATGACAGTCCAGGTTACCCACCCTTTTTAGAGTCCCTGGAAGGAGTTGTTGGAGAGCATTCCTCCTGGGGACTCTCTTGTTCTACTGGGGGCAGAGCTGTCAACTGATCACTACCTGGTGGTGGGTTAGCTCCGCTGGTGGGGGAGGAAGCCGGCCAGGCCTGGCAGGCCCAAGCATATAGTGAGGGTCTGCTGGGAACATCTGGCGGAATCCCCTGTCAGGAGGAGTTTCAACTCCTACCTCTGGCAGAACTTCTCCCATGTCCCGGGGGAGGCGAGGGACATTGAGTCCGAATGGGCCATGTTCCACGCCTCCATTGTGGAGGCAGCTGGCCAGAGCTGTGGCCGTAAGGCAGTTGGTGCCTGTCGCGGCGGCAATCCCCGAACTTGCTGGTGGACACCAGTGGTGAGGGATGTCGTCAAGCTGAAGAAAGAGTCCTATCAGGCCTTTTTAGCCTGTGGGACTCCAGAGGCAGCTGACAGGTACCGGCGGGCCAAGCGGGGTGCGGCTTCGGTGGTCCCCCTCTTTAAGAAGGGGGATCAGAGGGTGTGCTTCAACACTCCTCAGCCTCCCTGGTAAGGTCTATTCAGGGGTTCTGGTTTTCACCCCGGCCGTGGAACAGTGGACCAGCTCTATACTCTCCGCAGGGTTCTGGAGGGTTCATGGGAGTTTGCCCAACCAGTCTACATGTGTTTTGTGGACTTGGAGAAGGCATTCGACCGTGTCCCTCGGGGAGTCTTGTGGGGGGTGCTCCGGGAGTATGGGGTGCCGGGCTTCCTTTTAAGGGCTGTTCGGTCCCTGTATGACCGGTGCCAGAGCCTGGTCCGCATGGGCGGCAATAAGTCGGACTTATTTCCGGTGAGGGTTGGACTCAAGTCAGGGCTGCCCTTTGTCACCGATTCTTTCCATAGTTTTTATGGACAGAATTTCTAGACGCAGCCAGGGCGTTGAGGGTGTCCGGTTTGGTGACCTCAGGATTAGGTCTCTGCTTTTTGCAGATGATGTGGTTCTGTTGGCCTCATAGGATCGTGACCTTCAGCTCTCGCTGGGACAGTTTGCAGCTAAGTGTGAAGGGGCTGGGATGAGAATCAGCACCTCCAAATCCGAGACCATGGTCCTCAGCCGGAAAAGGGTAGAATGCTCTCTCCGGGTCAGGGATGGGGTCATCCCCCGAGTGGAGGAGTTTAAGTCTTGTTCACGAGTGGGGGGCAGTGATGCAGGCGCTGCACCGGTCTGTCATGGTAAAGAAGGAGTTGAGCCAAAAGGCAAAGCTCTCGATTTACCAGTTGATCTACATTCCTACCCTCACCTATGGTCACGAGCTGTGGGTAGTGACCTAAAGAACGAGATCGCGAGTACAAGCGGCCGAAATGAGTTTCCTCCATAGGGTGGCTGGGCTCTCCCTTAGAGATAGGGTGAGGAGCACGGTCATTCAGGAGGGACTCAGAGTAGAGCCGCTGCTCCTCCGCATCGAGAGGAGCCAGATGAGGTGGCTCGGGCATCTGATTAGGATGCCTCCTGGACGCCTCCCTGGTGAGGTGTTCCGGGCATGTCCCACTGGGAGGAGGCCCCGGAGAAGACCCAGGACACGCTGGAGGGACTATGTCTCTCGGCTGGCCTGGGAACGCTTCGGGATTCCCCCAGAGGAGCTGGATGAAGTGGCCGGGGAGAGGGAAGTCTGGGTTTCCCTGATGAGACTGTTGCCCCCGCGACCTGACCTCGGATAAGCCGGAGATAATGGGGATATATATATATATATGTGTGTGTGTGTGTATTTGTTAATTTTATGTACATGAATTGTAGGACATCTTTAATATTTATAAAACATTCTTTTTGAAGATAATAAGAAGGCAGACAAAACCTTTGAAAATCCTGGGTAATGAGAATATTAGTGTGATTTTTAAATTCTTTATAGAACCGTAATTGCATTGCATATACATTACCCGCAATGGCATAAAACGCGTGTTTATAATAGCCTGCACTCGCAAATTGCCTGGCAAACTGTAATCTTTGTTATATTTTCCTGTATTACCTACAGTATACAAAAAAGTGCCGCTTGCAAAATAATGCACATTGTCTGTGTGGCTGTGAGAGCCCGACTTCACCTAGCTGGACTTCTACTATACAGAGCTAATAAATCTTTAAGATATAATATTCCATCTCGACTGAATTGGTATCTTTCGAAAAGAATATCATCCGGTAACAATAAAGGATCTTGCCGATCGCTCAAAACCCTCTCAATTTGAAATTCACGTCTTATTATTTGTGCACCGATTGCAATTGGCCGCTCATCCATGAATGGCGAGGCCATGACTGAACGGATTTCCATGCACGGACACTGACCAAGCGCACGAGCTAATCCTTGTTTAAATAGAACAAAGCTGCTCCGAGCAGGTTTGAGGATTTGGATATGCTGCTATGACAACACATCCAGCAAGAGTTTCGAAAAACCGACAGATCCAGGATCATACAAAATCATCAACGATTACATCCGGCTAAACGAGTAATCCACGTACGAAAAATACCCCCCAGATGTTTGTAAGCACACAACAGTATAATTAAAATTTGCTCCAGTGGTTAAGGATATCACTATCCTTTTGTAGTCCACTCCAAGTCGTTCCTAAAGCAAAACGACAGCCAATTCCTGATTGGGTGGGCGATCTCGATGGTTTTTGGGAAATGTAGTTTAATTGCGGTGGCTTCTGGGACGGGCTCTATCGCGTGCTTCCCCGACGCCGCGCGGAACGACACGGATTCGTCACATAGTCCGCCTTTATCTCCTTCGGCGCAGCAGCCTTTTAAAATCCATTTTAGGTGTTTCGGTTTCTAGAAAAGCTTTTCCAACTACTCAGCCGCCGCCGCCATTTTTCTGCTTCGTTGTTTGCCCCTCCGTGTGCGGAGAATAAAGAGGTACGTTACAGTTAGCTTAGCTCTGTGGCTAGCTACGTCTCACCTCAGCACGGAAACGCTGAGCAGGGCCGAGTGGGCCCTCGCTGCGTTCGGTCCTGAATGCCTGTCCGGTACGCCCGGTACCTCACTGGGTTGTAACGTGTATGTGAAGTGGGCTCACATTAAAGCCGTAAAATAAACCCGGGAGCCGTAGCAGTTGACCGGGAAGACTAATATGCACTACGTATGCTAGCTCGACCAGTCAGCCATATATCCCCGAATTACCTGCAGGGGGTTATGTGTTTACTGTCGTGTTTGTTACGTAAGCGCCATGGCCATCTGCTTGTATGAATTGGTAACTGGTTACAATTTAATTTCTGTGTAACTAATTGCGCACTTAGCGCCAGTCTGCTGCTGTGCTGATTGCTTAACGGGCCGCGCCACTGTGTGAGAGGATGCGGACGACCCGCCGCCCCTGGGCTGCTTCTCGGGCCGGCCTGACTGAGTCTGCTGACGCCGCACAGAGGATTTGAGCTCGGACGGAAGCTGACATGTGCTGTGCCACGGGGGCGAGGACACCCCTACGTTTATTAACCAACTGTTGCATAGTATAATTTGGTTCAGTCCCTGTGATCAGGAGTTGTTGGTAGTTTTCGTGTTGGTCACTTGTAATCTTGTGGTCTTATTTGATGAAAGTGATTTCAGAATGTCTTCTAATTTGTTTTCATGTTGTTCCGGAGCACATCTGTTCTTGAAACATCCTGTTTCTCTGCTGTCCACCTGCAGGGGGGTGACATGTACAACGGCATTGGGCTGACCACCCCCCGCGGCAGCGGGACCAATGGGTATGTTCAGCGCAACCTGTCCAGTGTGAGGGCAAAGCGCACGCGGGATGAGCGGGGTGCCGAACGCGACGAGAAGGACCGCGAGCGCCTGGAGAGCCAACTGAGCCGGCAGCCCAACGCTGAGATCCTGGAGCACCAGAGGAAGAGGCAACTGGAGGTCAAGTGTGCAGAACTACAGGACATGATGGAGGAGCAGGGGTAAGCATGGCCAGAGAGGGGTGCCAGCTTAGTGTTGACGTATTTTGTGGACTCGCAGACTTGTCCAGTAATTCAGAAACCTCATCTAGTTCCATTGTGTTTGACCGTACAGAGGATTGCCGTGGGGAATCCTCCATGTCATGCTTTTATTGTTGTTTCTTAGGTATTCAGCGGAGGAGATTGAGGAGAAGGTGAGCAGTTTCCGGCTGATGCTGCAGGAGAAGCAGGAGCCACCACCCACAGCCACCGAGAAGCCAGTGTGAGTGACCTGATGTGCCGAACTGCCTGCTGGGGGCCCTTTGTGTGTTTTGCTTGTCTCTCTAAACTGCTGGTTCTTTGGCCCCACAGGGTCACAGAGACACACGCCTTGGCTGCCGCCAATCAGCAGAAGAACAACCGTCTGCGTGAAGCGTTTGGCATCGCCTCAGACTACGTGGATGGCTCCTCCTTCAATCCAGAGCGTCGGGAGCGAGAAAAAGAGAAGCGGGAACAGGAGCAGCAGCTGCAGCAACAGCAAAAATATGCGTGAGTGTCAGAGGGGAAACTTGGACCCCAGCGATAACCGGGCCACCAGCCGCCAGCCTGTGGATATACAAGAACACCATAATGGCTCAAACGTCACTTTTACTGAAACCTTCTGCCTTTTACGTTCCTCTGTGTATTCAGGTTTGTCCCGGAGTCTGACAGCTCCACTGCATCTCCACCATGCAAGCATGGCCGGAAGAGGAGGAGAAAGAAAAACAAGGCCAAGGAGAGGTGAGAGAGGAGCAGATGGGATGTGTGTGTGTGTGTGCGTGCGTGCACAGGTTGTGAATGAGCAGACAGGATCCCCAGTAAACCTGCCCCTTCTCATGCAGCTCAGAGAGTCGGTCCCCCTCCCCTCGTCGGGAGAAAAAGAAAAGCAAGAAGAAGAAAAGGTGAGCTAAGTATTTATTTTATTTTGTAGCTTGTCAAACACCCTGATGGTGATTCCATGCATTTGTATACACTTGTGCTTAACACAGTGCGTGTGTGTGTTTTTGTGTAGCCTTTAATGCAGTGCTGCATAGCTAATGATGCTTCTGTCACTGTTTAGGGAAGGCTCAGTGCAGAAGGACAAACGCAGGTACACTTTGTTTTACTACTAATTACTTAGCTGTGTTGCTGTTACTGTACTTAGTTGGCTGTCTCTCCTATAGTCCTTCTGATGACAGGCGGCAGAAGAGGAAGAGGAGTGAGAATGGAACTCCACCCCGGACCAAACAGCAGAGGAACAGGAGCCCATCGTCAGACTCGGACCGCAGGTGGGTGTGCGTGAGCGACGCCTGTCCCTGTAACAGTGCTCTCCATACGGTAGCTTTGTATGACTTTCAGCATGACGTTGAGTCTGATTAATGAAATGAGAAACTTTAATTTTGCTTGAACTTAATCAGCGTTTGATGCTAGTGTGTGTGATCCTGTTTCATCAACAGTTTGCTACCATAAGCCCCTCTTTAGGTGATCTCTGTAACACTTTTTGTTCAGATGTGAAAAATGGACTAGATTGCATTCTTTTCTAGGTTTTTGGGTTTGAATTGCAATTGAACCCAGAAGTAGTCTCTACAATTATTTTAGTAACTTGATCTTTAAACCAGCATTTTCATTTGGGGTTAGAGAAACTTTTTTTTCTTCGTTGTGTAAGAACCTTACTGTTATCTTGTGCTTGTTACAGAAAGCTCATTGACTGGTCACTGTTACACTCTCTGGTCTCGTCTGTGCAGCCAATCTCTAGTTCCAGATAAGGAGGTACGACAAAACCAGCCAATCAGGGGGGTCGATGAGGGGAGAAAGGGGCGGTCTCCAGATAGAAGGGGGAGAAGGCATGAAGAGGACTTACCACAGAGGGCAGTAGGCAGAGAGGTGAGACTTGAATTCACAGGGTAGTGGAACTGGAATACCTGTTCTATAATGTCTAGCCCGTGTGGATCAGATACCTTCCAAAGCAATTTGAAGCATGTGGATATGTGGATGGAAATTTCGCTCTTGATGCAGTGGTATATGGGTGAATGACATGAGGTGCGTACTTTTGTGCCATTATTTATTTATTTCTTTTAAATCATTTAATAAATACATAGCATGCCTAACTTTGTTTGAAACCTCTTTTGATGTAAATGTATAGTGCATTCAAATCATGTACAGCTTCAACTTTTGTATCTCAAAGTCCAAAAATGTCTGGCGGTGTCACCATCCAAACAAATGAGCAGAGTAAGGAATTGATTAAAATTGCCATTAAAGCAATTAAAAATGTAAAGTATTGGCAGTCCCCAGGTTACGAATGAGATCCATTTGTAGGCAAGTTGGAAAAATAATAACGAAATACGGTACTGTACTTTACCTCAACCCAAAGAACCGCTGAAGACATGCAATGTTTTCATGAGCGTCATAATGTAGTGCGTGCATTTGTTATTCCAAATCATTGTATTTAACCCAATTTTTTTGATACAATATGCTTTTTGGCTGTTCCTGACTACAAGTTATCCGTACATCGGATGGTGTTAACCCGTCGACTGCTTGACGTTAGGCATAATGCTAGGGTTCGCAAATATATATTACTTCAAATGTCAGACAGCACAACCAGGTAAAGGGGGTTTTTATTTAAAAGTAACAGTGGACCAGATATTACATTATAATACAGACCATAAGTGATATTCACTATACCATGAAGATCAAGAACAAACATTTGCAGGTGTTTAACTTAAATTTTACCACTAATCATAAATGCAGAAAATAAATGGGTTAAATGTTTACCTTATGAAGGTTTCGAATTAAAAAAATAAATAAAAATAGAAATATATTTTCCACGAAAACCTTATTAGTCATTCTTCATAAACTCTGAGGCTATTTGCAGTATAGTCTTATTAATCCTGCATGAATGCTGGCCCTCCTAGCTAAGATCAGATATCACAGACCTACACCTGTGGATAATTCTAAGATGCTAAGAAAACCATTGGTACTTCCCAGAAATCTCCTGAACGAGGCAGAAGAGGAGAAGAGCGGGACCGAGGAGAGAAGGAAAAGCCTCAGAGGAGAAGACATGACTCCTCATCGTCTTCTCTCTCTCCACCACGTGAGAGATCCAAGCGGATGAGGAGTGCAGAGAAAGAGCATGTCAGACAGAGGGAAGCTTCTCCGCGAAGTGCGTCTGACAGAGAGAGGGAAAGAGGTAGACAGAGCGGCAGGGAGAGAAATGCCTCTCCTAAAGAAAAGAGCAAGAGGGCCCCAGAGAGGGCGAGGGAGCCTTCCTCCTCTGGGTCATCATCGTCCTCGAGCTCGCCCTCACCAGTCAGAAATGGGCGAGAGAGGGAGAGAGACCAAGAAAAAGAGAAGGAAAAACAGAACGTTTGGGAAAAAGAGAAGCAGAGAGAGAGGGAAAGAGTGGAACGGGAGAGGGAGAAGGAGCATGCAAGGGAGCGGGAGAGGCAACGAGAGAGAGAGGAACGGGAGAGGCAACGAGAGAGAGAGGAACGGGAGAGGCAATGGGAGAGAGAGGAACGGGAGAGGCAATGGGAGAGAGAGGAACGGGAGAAGGAGAGGGAACGGGAGAAGGAGAGGGAACGGGAGAAGGAGAGGGAACGGGAGAAGGAGAGGGAACGGGAGAGGGAGCGAGAGAGGCTACGGGAGAGAGAAGAGAGAGAACAAGAAATGGAAAGAGAAAAGGAGAGACGGAGACAGCAAGAGAAGGAAAAGGAGAGAGAGAGAAGTACCAACAGAAGCTCCCCTGCACCAGAGGATGACCGGGAGCAGCCTCAACGGGCACAGAGGATGGCTGGACAGCAGAGGGAAAAGCAGGTTAAGGAAGGCAAGGCCAAGAAAGGCAAGGTCGAATCGAGTAGCAGCAGCAGCGACAGTGACAGCGACAGCTCCTCGTCATCATCATCATCGTCTTCCTCTTCCACAGACTCCTCTGCATCCTCGACATCCTCTTCATCATCATCGTCATCCTCTTCTGATGAAGATGAGAAGAAAGGTTCAAGAAAACAGATGGTTAAAAAGACTAGGGTTTTATCAGAAGTCACTGAAGAGTCAGGTGCTCCTCCTGAGCCCTTGCCTTCAGCTCCAGTCCTGCCCACCACAACTCCTCCCTCTGAAAAGGAGGTGCTGGAGGATAGGTGTGGGCTGAGAAAAACTGGTAAAGAGAGAGGACAGTGGCACCCCCTGATGGAGACAGAGGCTCAACCATTGGGACAGAAGGGACGATACTCCCCAACTGGAGGCAATGCAGCATCACCAGGGGGGTGCGTGTCCTCTCCTGCGGGCACTAGAATCGAGGGCAGAGGAGCTGAGTGTTACTCTCCAACCTCCCCCTCCAAAGACGCCTCCCCTTCGCCTCCCGGCGATGATCTGAATGAGGTTAGAGACCAGACCAAAAGCACCCGTGTAGACCGTCTGGCCGATGGAAAATATCAATACACCCCCCCAGAGGCTGAGAAGTCTCCTCACGTTGAGGTTGGGCGGACTGTGGAACGGGGGGGCGGAACCTCTGAAGGAAGAAGGGAGCGGCACGGCTCCTCTGCCTCAGCCTCACCTCCACGGCGCACCCCTCCCCTGCAGTATCAGGATCCCCCACGACAGTTCCGTCGGGCATCTCGATCAGCTAGCCCCCGCAGGCGGCTGCCATCACCAAATCGCAGAGACCGGGACAAAGAGGCCAACAGGGACAGGGAGAGGGACAGAGAGAGGGACAGGGACAGGGAGAGGGATAGGAGGTACTCACCTGGTCCAGCCCGCAGAGACAGGGATCGTGACAGAGAGCGGGACAGGGATCGTGACAGAGAGCGGGACAGGGATCGTGACAGGGAGCGGGACAGGGATCGTGACAGGGAGCGGGATAGGGAGCGTGACAGGGATCGTGACAGAGAGCGGGACAGGGATCGGGACAGAGAGCGGGACAGGAGACAAAGGAGAAGTCGATCGAGGTCCCCGAGGAGACGCAGCCCTCTCTACAGGTACCATTTCTGTCTGATCTTGTGGGTGATGTGCACAGCTGCGGATGAGAGACTGCACCCTAATCTATCATGTCTCCTTACCGACGCAGGAGAACCAGTCGCTCACTTTCCAGGGAGAGACAGAGAGATCGAGAGCAAGAACGAGAGAGGAACCGAGAGCGAGAGAAGGAGACAGAGAAGCAGCTACATGCTTTTAAAGACGCAAAGCCTCAGACTCCGGGATCTCCATCATCGTCTTCCTCATCATCCTCTTCAGGCACTTCCTCATCCTCCTCTTCTGGGTCTGAAAGTGAAGAGGAAACCGAGGGGAAAGGACAACCCAACACTGGAAGAAAGGAAGCAGATACAGAGAAAGAAACAAGAGCTGATCAGGAGGAAAGTGGGAAAGGAGGAGATGGAGAGCTGGAGAGGGTGGAACTCAGCCGGTCACCTGTCCCCAGCGGTCAGTGCAGAGAGCTGAGCCTGGCTCAGTCACGCTCCATCTCCCCTAAATCTCCTCCCATGCTGCTTTCTGGTTCCCCAGTACATCCTTCAATTGGTCAGAGTGGGCCTCAGGCTCCATCCAATGGGAAGCCAAAGAAACAGGAAGAGAAGGAGCAGCGTAAGAAAAACAGCAGTGGCTCCAGTTCATCGTCCAGTTCCTCCTCCTCTTCCTCTTCATCATCTTCATCCTCATCTTCTGACAGCTCGGATTCTGAGCCGGAGGATGGGAAGGAGTAAGTGCAATAAGTTCCTGCATGTGGTCTCACTATGGGGCTGTGTGTGTGTGTGCTAATACTCGCCTGACTCTGCTCCGGTTCCCCTCCTCTTTTCTTGCTCAGAGAGTGCAGTACTGCTGTAGCGGGCTGTAGTTCATCATCGTCATCATCGTCATCATCTGACAGTGACAAAGAGGAGAAGCCAAAAAGGTAGTCGTCGTAACTGTCATTTTAGATTGGTATGCTTTTTATGTGTTTGCCAGTATCAATAGTATTTTTGATGTGTAATTGTTCTTTCAAAGTAAATGTAAATTTCTAATAAGTATTATTATGACTTAAGGATGTCACTGTAGGTGGCACTGTTACATCTCCAGGCTTGGTGACTCGATTCCAGCCTCTTTGGCATGTGTGGAATTAACATGAGCTCCCCATGTTACATATATGTACCATAGCCTTGCACCCTGTGCTGTCTGTGACAGGCTCTGGTCACCCATTACCCTGACCAGGGTCAGTGGGTAGTGCATAAATGAGGGTGTGTGAAATGATAGTTTTGACTTTCAGCCCACCTCGGCGTCAGAGGGTGCCAGCTGATTCACTGAGAGACTCGCGCTCTCCCAGCTACTCTCCCCCACCACGAGTGCGACGTCCTGCTCCGTCACCGCCCACACGCAGGTTTGTAGTCAATTTCTTTCATGGGCTAACGATTCCTGCGGATTCACCTGGGTGGTGGGTAATGTAGGACTGCTGATGTGAGTTCCACATTCCAAAACAAATGATGGTGTAGTTAGCTGGGGTCCTCTGTAGGCCTTTACCTTGTGCGCATCCTGGCACTTTGTTTGACCACTTACATGTGAGCACTTTTTAATACAGTGTATATGTGCTTCTGTTTTAGGAGCAATAGAAGTGAAGAAAGCAGATCATCGAGCAGAAAAGAAAGCAAGTAGTTCCAGGAACGCCTCTGCAGTACATTGTGGGCTGTGGTGGTTTCATCTTGTGAGCCATGTAGAAGTATGGTGTGCTGGAGCAGGGACAGGCCTGGAAACGCATAATGCCATTTGTTCTTTTTAGGAAATAATCATTTTCTTTTTTTATTTTAATTTGGGACTGAATTGGATTCCCTCTGCCTACAGATACATTCATGCTTATGTGATTATATGAACTGTACAAAGATGATTGATCCATGTATACTAGCAACACTGAGAGCAACTGTTCAGTCAACCTTCTGACTTTATACCTCCAGTCTTATTGATATACTTCTGAGTAATTTGTTTTTCCCACTGTCAGGAGGGGTGAGATTTGTCTGTGAATAGAAATCTTGACTTTTGTTTTTCCTTTTTGTGAAAATATTAAATAAAAAAAAAATGCAATTGTATTCTTTGTCTGTTAAGCTTTATAAAATCTTTTAGTCATAAAAATTGAGTCCTTAAATGACTTGTTCGACCACATATTGTGTGCTTACCAGTGGCACGTTTAAATGCCTTTCTGCAATTCACATCTGTATATGAGTGTGTATATATGTGTGCATGCATGTATGTACACTCATATATAATCCCTACATTTTCTGAAACTGCATGTCCTATTCAAGGTTGCGGGGGGGGGGGGGGGGGGGGGGGGGGGGGGGGGGGGTACAGAGCCTATGGGCACACGACAACCCAAGATGGTCACGCTAACCCATCACAGGGCGTACACACAACAGTCACTCACACATGCACACCTATGGGCAATTTGTCAACTGCAATTAGCCTCAGCATTTTTTTCGACCATGGGGTAAAACTGGAGTAGCTGGAGGAAACTTCGACAAGGGGAGAACATGCACATTCCACACCCATGGAGCCACTGCGTTCACTGAGACAACAGCACCTACCACTGCCCTACTGGAATTATTAAATTGAATTTATATAATTATAATGTTATATATTACTTATTTAATCAGGCGAAGGAGTAAGTAGGGTGTATATATTTAACTCCCGGAACGTTACACAGTGAACAGAATGCCGAAGCAGGGACGAGTTCAGCTCTAACCCAAAAGACAACACGCGAGTTCGATTCGTGCCTGTGTGATGACGCAGTTTTTTCCGCCGGAGAGTGGTGTGACGTCATATTAAATGGACTTTGTATCACCAATGAAAGTTACATTGATGTAATTTCGTTGTATGTCAAGGTTTATTGTTTTCTGTTATTTGTCACATCTGGTAGCGTAAAGCAAAATCATGGGTCCAGTCGAGGTAACTATATTTATACTAGTCATTTAATAATTATTCTGAGTATGAAAAAGTCGTTGTACCCTTATGTAGTCCTGCCGGTGTTCCGGGCAATTCAGTTTCCCTATGTTTCCCCTGTCGCGCGCTGATTTGTACACGGTTTCGCTGTTGTTTTCATGTCTTTTTAAGAAGCTCTTGAGGTAAACAAGCCATATATTTTAAAACATCACATGCCTTTTCGCTGTTATTTTCATGTCTTTTTAAGAAGCCATACATTTTAAAACATCACATGCCTTTTCGATGTTTTTCGTTTTTACAGATAATAAATAAAAGTATTTAATTCGCTGGATAGAGATATTTCTTGATGAAAACGGTAGGCTATAGTATTGCTTATATAAGACTATATTATGCGTGACGATCTACTGTATTCACATGTAATAATGTACCCGAGTGATTTTCAGACATCTCACATACATATTTGCCTAAATATTAGGAGAAACATTATTCCCTGATAGACAGGGGAAACATAGGGGAACCGAATTGCCCGGAACACCTGTTACAGTAACGTGTAGCTGGAGTATTCTATTGTTATATTTACCGCCGGCTTTTTGTTTATCGGCATCAGATTCTGTGAAGTTACTTTAAATACTCTTGTTTTATTATGCTGCTCTCGCGTGAGGAGTAATAATCTTCTTCGTCGTTGCAGCTCCTTCACATGTCGGTGTTTTCTCAGAGCTTCTCTCCCTGCGGTCGGTTTTTAGCTGCAGGGAACAACTACGGTGAGATCGCAGTTTTCAGGTGAGGCAGTGATGTTTTAATAGTACCGTACTCGTTCTGGACAAAGTCGTGTTTTGGTTAAATATATAGTGTGCGTGGCAGTAAGGTACTCTTCTCATTCCGTCTCTGTAACATTAGTACTGGCAGACAAGTGGTCAAGTTGCCACTGAAGTATTGTGTATGTCTTTTGCCCGGTACTGTGGTGAGTGATCTTACTTATTGATTCTGTTTTCAGTCTGTCATCCTCACTTAGCCCAGAGGCAACAGAAATCAACAGAAAACCCATCCTCACTTTCACTGGTAAGTCTTTGCTGATTATACTGAGCGCCAACTCTTGTTAATATACTTGTATGAATAGTTCTGATTCCTATATGTGAAGTGAATGATTTTTTTTCATTCTTAATCAGCTCACGAGGGACCTGTTTTTTCCCTTCTGTCCACCGACACACATCTTCTTAGTGCAGGAAATGGAGAGATTAGTGCTTGGAGTTGGACAGAGCTGGCAAAAAGAGTAAGTATTATATAATGGGAAACAGAGAGATTGTGTGTATGCCTACATTTATGAATATTTTAAAGAAATATAATGAATGATTTTATTTTTATGTGTTCATCTCCCAAGAACACCAAAGCTGTCTGGATTAGAAGACCACAATACAAGTAAGTCTCCTCTGATCTTTGACACAGGTTGCATTGTCCAGTTGGGTTGGTGTGTCTTTAAATTCTTGCATTCTTTTATAGATTGAGCTTGGAGATCCCTGAGATCAATGCAATGGTCATTAATGCCAGAGTGAGTAAATGCAAGAACAGAAATCCTGCATATACTGACACGTTTAAGAGAGCAGCTGTCTATTTACATTTCTTTACGGTAATTGACCAAGTTAGCAGAATTGGCGTCTTACTCCTTCTAGAGTTTGCTGTGTGACTTTTCACATGGATAATGTGATACATCTGCAGTTTTGTTATTGTAATCTGTACTCACGGTCATTTCTATTCTCAGGACAACAGCCTGGCTGTGGGTGGGGGTGATAACAATGTTCACATTATGGATCTAGAAAGTGGCATTTTCAAGGTGAGTATGTAACCTGTCTCTTTCTGTGAGAAGTGGGTGTGGCTGTTTTACTTTCATTTTAAGAAAGTCTTTTGGTCTTGAAGATTGTTCCTCAGTTGTTAAACCCACCCTAGATGAGATTACTACATGGGATCTGACACGCCTGCTTTGATCTAGTGCCAACCAAAGAACAGTGGGTTTAACTAGAGTTTGTATCCAATCAGACTTCCCATACTGATAGACTGTAACCCTAAACCTGATTATGGCTGTTCAGTCTGTGCTGCAGGGCCACACTGACTACATCCACTGCTTGAGCATCAGAGAACGGGAAGGAGAGCTGCTCTCTGGTGGGGAGGATGGAGCTGTCAGGATGTGGGGTGAGTCCTCCTCCTGCAAGACTCTGGTTCTGGAGTCCTGATGTTGTTCTTTCACAACTGAGGTGCCTCTGCCTTCTGCCCCCAGATGTCCGAACAGGACAGTCTGTGCACTGTGTGGAGGTTTACAAGTACGAGGTGAGTCTCAGCGTGCAATTAATGTTAAGACAGGAACTGTGAGTGAGATGGACACAGCCGACACCTTGGATGCAACACTAATGCATGCTGATGCTGCCGACTTGTTTTTAAATAACATCATGATACACAGGATGTTTAGGAAGCAAGCAAGCCCACTCTTTTTTTTTGTTCTAAATTGTTAGCATGCAAGGGGGGGGAGTTTGGCAGCCAGTTGACTTTGGACCCCTGGAGTTTTTTTTTCCTCATCATTGGGAAGTTTTTGGTTCCTCCCCTACATTATTATCTGGCATTCTTTCTTCCATTTCTTTGTTTTCCTTTATCCCTGTTTTTAAGTTATGCCTTATAAATGATGCAGGAATGTATTACAACACATCCATGTAAAGTGCCTTGTGGTGACTCAACTTTGAAAGGCGCTATATAAAAATTGATTGAATTGAATTGATTTGAATCTGTCCTTCTGCCGTGACAGCAATGTGCTCGGCCCCAGCATGGGAAGTGGATTAGCTGTGTCACCACGGATTCTGACTGGATGGTGAGTTTGGAAAAGCCTAAATGCAGTCAGCTTTGTTTTCTGCACATGGGAGTCAGGTGATGGGGTCAGTGGACAGGATTTTGTGTCCATTTGTGTGGCCATGTGACCCAGCTCTGGCTTTGTCTTCCTAGCTGTGTGGCGGCGGCCCTTCCCTCTCGCTCTGGCATCTGCGCTCACTCTCCCCCACCTCCGTCTTCCCTCTGTCCGGATGCCAGCGACAGGCGATGTTCTACCAGGATCTTGTAAGCCTCTCTGTTCTCCCTGTTAATCCCTCACACACACCGATCTGCCAGCAGAGGCAGATGGGTGACACAGCCCAGGAGCTACAGAAAGTGACACCTGTCTTCCTGGGGTCTGGTATTTAATCCACAGTGGGCTCTTTATTACTGAGAACTTGCTTGGAACCATTTCATGCAATCCAACCTGTCCATAAGTTTAACTAAATACACTGAGTGTCTTTATTTGTATATTTGTTAGTATTGTATTAGGAATGTGTTGATTTCTCCTCTGTCTGTGTAGATCTTAGCAGTGGGGGAGGGCCACTTTGCTTCCCACTGTCTCCTCGGCGGTGAAGTTAAGTCACTGATTCCCTGCACACCCCCATCACTCAACACACTGGCTCTGAACACCAACAGCACTGAGCACAGGGTGAGTCCCACTGTGACTTTTCCTCTGCTTTGTTTCTCACCCCATGTCTGCTGGTCTGTGGTTAAGCGTCAGTGCTGCTCTCTTGCACACTCTCTCCAGGTGCTGACAGTAGGGGGCAGCAGTGACCAGATCGATGTTTTCACCAACCTATCATACAGGGCCTTCTCTCTCTCCTTTTGATGCACTCCCATCCTCACACCTCCGCCACCTACTTAAAATGCATGCCTGTCTGAAGTTTCCGGGAGTATTTGTTTTTATAATAAAGATTTGTTGCCCATTTTGTAGAATTCTGTGTTTTATCATTCATGACTGTCACACCCTAAAGAGTGTACACTTTGCTTCCTCGAAATACTGTTCATGCCGGGGGGGGGCGGGGGGGGGTGTGGAATTGTAGATGAATGTGTGACGTGAACCATGTAAATATTAAAAATATGACACTAAAAATATTCATGAGGACAGCGATCCTTCTTGTACAGCCACTGCACAGGATGTAAACCTGGGTCGCATGCTTTTAAATTAGATTCTACAAGTTCTATAATCATGATTTCAAGTAAAATAACAGTGTCCAGGGGAATCAGGAGGCGGCTGATGGTGTCTGTACTACCAGGTGTAGCTGTGGTCCTTTTCCCCGGATTTCCTGGGTGGAGTTGCTCTCCTTTGCCTTTTCCTTATTTTTACTGTTCCTAAAGGAAGACTGGCAGAGCTTGTACACAGAAACGCAATGCAAGGCTGCTCCGCACTTCTGTTTCTAATCTATTTTGGTGGATACTACTGGATACTACATATAGTGTAGTTGTAATAGGCCTATAAATCACTCCTGTGCTCCCTGAAACCTGTTAACAGCAATCCGGAGTCTTTCATGCACTACCTGGTTAGTATCTTTGTCTCTGCAACACTGACACTGTATCTGAACAAGCTTAATGGGTAATTAGAAATACTTCAAATATTCCACTGAAGAGGCCTTCAGGAAATGGATCAGACAGGAGTGTGAAATGCACGAAAACCTCGATGCCTGCTGGGCTGGAACACTGAGATGAGCTGGGAAACATTTACAGTTATAATCTGCTAAACGTGTGCTTTAATGGCAGCTGCTTAATAAGATATCTGGGATGTGCTCAAGAATGGGAAGATGTTTCTTCAAAGATGAGAACATGGAAGTGCCATTTTTAATACTGAACTGAAAGGGAAACTGAGTAACTGGCAGAAGAGGAAATGCTGAACGGACAATGGATCCACTGCTTCCTTTAAGATCACCGAGTCCAGCAGCAACAATACGGGTAATATGACAGCAAAGGATTACAACCATCTCTTCAAGCTGCTCATCATCGGGGACTCCAGTGAGTGAACGCTCTCGCATAATTGCTCAAACATTTTTTATGGCCGAATGTACACATTAATGTCCCTCCAGCTGCCCGTTGTCTTTGTTTAGTATCTCGCTAAGCTAGACCTATGTGAAAGCTGCGATTGTTGAAATAAAATCAGATGGATGAATAGCTTTGATGACACATATATGAGACGTATGTTGTGATGATTATTTTCATTTTCCAGAATCAAATAATGAAAACATGCTTGCCAGAGTGTCCAGTTGGCTTGTGTAATTGTATCTACTGTTAAAGAAATAGTATCAACCCGAGATAAGTAATCAAGTAATCATGTTGTTAGGGCACATTTATTCAATGATTGTAGGGTCTGCTCTTAATTACTTAATTATCCATAATTATCATATATATAAATATATATATATATATATATTTATTTCCATTGACCTTAGATGTCGGGAAAAGCAGTTTGCTACTCCGGTTTGCTGATAACTCATTTTCAGGTGAGTGAACTTTTATGTGATGTCGCAGATTATGGCAGGCAGATGTGGCACCAGATGAGTCAGTGGATGTTACATTGTCTGTACTGGCTTCCACATCCTTTACATCCAGCCGTGTCCTACAGGGAGTTACATCACGACGATTGGTGTCGACTTTAAGATCCGCACAGTGGACATTAATGGTGAGAAGGTCAAGATACAGATCTGGGACACAGCTGGACAGGAGCGATTCAGGACCATCACTTCCACGTAACTGCCAAACTAGTTATTTAAACTGATCTGAACAGCCTTAGGATCATACTTCTGAATATATGTTTCTACACTCTCCTGTGTACAAATCAGAAGACTGTTTAAGGCTTGTGTCATTTTAACCAGCTCATAAAGAGCTCAGAATGTTCTAGCCAGTCTGGTTGGTTAATTATTTACTTATTTCCATGCCAGCAGGTAATGCACACTGAAGGTGATGTTTTGTGCCACTAACATGACATACATATGGTAAAAATTTCTTGCGATACTATTTCTTCCGATTTCAGGTATTACCGGAACACTCATGGTGTCATCATTGTCTATGATGTGACGAATCAGGAGTCTTTCGTCAATGTGAAGAGATGGTTAAATGAAATCTCCCAAAATTGTGACAATGTCTGTACGATCCTTGGTAAGTGTCTATTTTTTAGGATTGATAATTTGGCAGGACCGGGCTTGCACAGGCTGGATTGAAGATGGAGGCCTTCTTCCTGTTAGCAACGGTGTGACATACTTCATATCCTCTCTTATCTCTAAGTGGGCAACAAGAATGATAATCCCTCCAAGAAGGAGGTCCACTTCCAGGAAGCTCAGCACTTTGGAGACTCAGTGGGAGTCAGGATCTTTGAGACGAGTGCCAAGGAAAATGTCAATGTGGAGGAGGTGAATATCTGTCACGTCAGTTACAGCTTGTCTATCGAGGCAGAGTGATGACTGTAATTGACCAACATTTGTTTGTATCTCATTCTTTCCAGATGTTCATGTCGTTCATTCACATGGTTCTGCATGCAAAAAAACAGAAGCAACAGCATGCGAAGAGAGACAGAGAACAGGGGAAAGACAAAGTCCGCATCAATTCACACCCGGAGCAAGAGAGACGGATGAAAGGGAAAACACACTGCTAGCACCTTTGGGAGATTCTGCCTGTGTCCGGTATGACTGTGAATTAGGGTTTGTTGATGTCACGATATTATCTCATACACCCTAATACTCATTTTCTACTTCTTTCATTCATTTTTGTTAATAATGGAGATTTGTATAGTTTGGAAAATTCTAGTTGGACAATTACTTAAATATTCTATAAACGCTACTAATCTTTGTGTTTTATTACAAATTGCAAAAGTTTTGTTTTAAAAAGACTCACTGTAATTAACAAAAATAAAGAAATCTTAACATCTCCTGTTCTCCCTTTATTTAATATGTCTGGACATGTCTACTCACCGTAGTTTAGCAGCATTAAATCGCATGCAGTTTCACTGTTACATTCAAAGAACTCAAAGGTCGTTGTGTATTTTTCGCTTTAAATAAAATTAAAAAAATTAAAAGTTGGGTTAACTATTTCAGACTATTGGCCCGTACTACGAAGCGGGGTTACTGGCTTATCGGGGTAACTTGTCGGATTTAATGTAGTCTTGGCAAAATGTAAGTGAACGAATATCAAGTCCATTTAAACTGTGGTACCTTAAATCCGACAAGTTACCCCGGTAAGCCAGTAACCGCGGTTCGGAGAACAGGCCACGGGTGTTCTGACTAGTTGAGATACCTATCGAGACTTGTTATCGAGCCTTTCTGCGCATGTGCAATACCACCGTCTTTGGATTAGTGTTAGGTTTAAGGGGTTAGGGTAAGGGTGTTTTTTTTTTTTTTTTGCTGTTAGAGTTAGGGTAAAGGTTAGGGGCTATCGATTAGCACTACGGTAGCCTAACTTGACAAAATAGCTCAACTCGTCGGAACACCGGCACCCCGGTAGGGGCGTGTCGGGCCGGCGCTGCACGTCACGTCCCTGCACGGATTGGCGGAGTGCAGACGTGGGGCGGGGTCGCGCTTACGTCACCGCCGCGACGTGCAGTCGCTGCTGCACTCCAGGGTTGCGGAGTAAAGATGGCGTCTGAGAGCGAGTGAGTGTGTATGATAATATTGTTTACATCATTGATGCTGGCATTTGTGATTGAAAAGGCTTAGGGTTAGATTTGCACAGACATCGTGAATAGATACTTACCCAGGAATTATGTTTATCTGGTGGTTTCGGCAAATAGGGGCTTGTCAGGTCACAGTCGTGACTTTTTAAAGCTTCATGTGGCTGTTTTGTTACTTATGAATAGGTGCTCATAACAAATATTTATATATAACGATCGATGTATATTAATGTAGGTATCAGGAATCATTCGAAAATTATTCAGAAAACTTATTTCTTAATTAATATTTGTTTTTCGTCCAAATCTCCTGTGGTTTGGGGTAATACCTCGTTTATCATCTCTGTTTGTACTCTAAGTGTCTTGTCTGAGATTGAAGTTCTGAAGTCCATTTACCTGGAGGAGCTGAGAGTCAGCCGGAACAGCACCGGGTGAGACAGTCCACCCCCGCTCTGGCTGTGCCCTGGTCGCTGAGTAACAGTTTAATTAATATGAATGTCACCGTCTTTAAAATCACCCATACTGACATCATGGTTTATTATCTATTTTCTGCTAGGGACTGGGATGTGAGCTTGGTCCTCCACCCCTCTACAGCTGAAGACTCCCTTTCCCAGTTTGTGAGGCTTACCCTGACATTAACTCTAGACTCACAGGTAGACACTGACACCCCATAAGCCTCTCTCACCTCAACTTGCCATTGCTGTCCAGGCAATGTTCCAGTTGCAGAGATCTTGGCGCCATGGAGGGACCTCTGGTCCATTTCAGTGCTCATTCACATGCTGTAACCCAAACAACTTTTTCAATCTTTGAGCAACTTTGGGCAATCGTTAATTTTTCGATGACTGTTGCCAGGTGGCAATGTTTTGTAGTAATTTTGATGAGATTGTGCCTGGTGGGTGTAACGTCTGTCCTCCTCTTGCTCAGTACCCTGCCTCTTCACCCTGCATCTCCATCCATCACCCTCGTGGTCTTTCTGATGACAAGATCCTCAGGTAAGCAATCAGCATAATCATGTTTGATTTCCTGTCTATAGTCCCCCATTGTGGGTCTCCAAGCTGCTCACTGTGCTCTCCCTGGCCCTATAGTGTTAAGCGCTGTCTGCACATGGAGGCGCAGTCCTGTCTAGGAGAGCCAGCACTCTACCAGCTCATTGAGGTCAGACCTGCCCCCGTTGGGCCCCTATCGGCCTCTGATTACCCTTTTGATTGACTCGTCAAACAGGATGCTGAAGTCTTTTCTTCTTCCACAGAAAGCCAAAGAGATCCTGACAGAGAGCAATATTCCCCACGGGAACTGCGTCATCTGCTTGTATGGTTTCAAGGTGCAGCTCGACGCAGTGGCCCAGTCCACTCTCCGTTGGCTCTGTCGCTCAAATTGTTCACTGTCATTCTGACAGGAAGAAGAAATATTCACCAAGACCAGCTGTTATCACTATTTTCACTCGTACTGCCTGGGCCGCTACATTGCTCATTCGGAGGCTGAGATAAGAGAGAGGAGGAAGGAGATGGAGGCGGACAAGACGAGGGGTAGAGCTGACAGCCAGGTGAAGAACACTTCTAATGGTGTCCTAGTCTTCAGTGCAAAACTGTAGTTTAAATCATTTTTAGTTTTAGAATAATTTTATTTACAGTGTTTGTAATATATTCTATATACATATGAACACTCAAGGCTGGGTTAAGTTTAGCAGAAATTTCTGATTTCAGAAACTAGAACATTTTGCTGTGGTGTATCTCTTTAATAATATATATATATATATATATATATATATATATATATATATATATATATATATATATATATATATATATATATATATGAACTTTCTTTTTCTACTTCCAGGAGTTGACTGTAGTGTGCCCAGTTTGTCGAGAGCCCTTGACCTATGACCTGGAAGTTCTTCTGGCCTCTCCTGCTCCTCACTTTCCCACAGTAAATCATGCAGTTTCATTATGGCTGTTATACTTGCTGCCATTTTCACAGAAAAACTTTGTAAAAGTCCATTGACTATTGCTCATCTTCAACCCAGCTTTTTTGTTTATTCCCTGATCAGATTTTATTCAAATTGGTTTTTCTCTATTAAGCTTGAAGAGACAACTGTACAGGCAGAATTTCGAAAGAAATGGACAGGACTTCAGGCTATTTTGGAGCGACAAAGGGAAAGGGGAGGAGTCATTGACCCTGAGGTGGAATCTAATCGTTTTCTAATACATATTAATGAGGTGAGTTTTTTTTTTGTTGCTCTTTCTCCTATTGGTTCTAACTCTCTACTCAGTCCCAGCTGTTGAACACCTTGAACTTGTCCCCTGCAGACACCCTCTGATCCCAGCAGCCTGGGCCCTGCCCTAGACAGCCCTCCCTGCCAGGTGGAGCCTGCCCCTCCTCCTGAACCCATTCAGCTTCCTGGGTGTCAGAGCCAACCGGTTTCTGGCCACTCTCAGCGCAGGCCTGATCACGGCCACAAGCAGCACAGCCAGCCAAGGCGGAGGAGGAAAGAGAGGAGCCGACCGCTGCAGGAGAAGCCGGATGAGCTCGCAGAGAGTGTGGCAAAGCTCACATTCTGCTCAGGGCCACAGTCCACATTCAAGGGGAATGAGGTTGCATCTGAAGTTCAAAGAGAAGCTGCCGTTTTGGTGAATGCTATCAGCTCAGAAGGCGGAGTGTACCCAAGTGCAGGCAATACTGCAGATGGGGAGATGCATGCGGATGTGCGTTTATCAAAAACCATGGCCAGTGGGCAGCCTGTAAACCCATCGAGGTTGGACACCATCCCACCCCCCAGCGCGCCAGGGAGAGAACAAGGCCAGAGATGGGACCGAGAAAGGAGGAGGGCGCCACGAAGCTTTGGACAGCAGGCTGGTCAACCGGAGGAAAGAAGTGTCAAAGGGGCGGACCATTGGGAAGCTCCCAGGGACAGTTTCCATTTCAGGGGAGGTCGAGGTCAAAGGGGAAGGGGCGGTGCTAATCCCCACCATAGAGGTCGAGGACCAGGAAGAGGGAGTGGGAGGGGCTTTAGTCATAGGGGCACAGAGAGAGTGGATGGCTGGGATGGAGATGCTTGGAAAAAGAATGAAATGTATGTCCATTTGAATTCCCCAGAGTAGCTCTCCACCCTGCCACTGGGACATTCTAAATGAAATGAATGCATGCTCATTCATCTGCTAGTAATATGCTCACCTAGACTAAATTCTGGACATTTTAGGTTTGTACTGGAGTCCTCACAGCACTTGAAAGTTTTAAAATAGCTCTGCTGGCATTTCTAAAAGGTCAGGGTGGCTGTATTCCCCTGATATTACCTGTATCGTTCACAATACTGTGTAAGTATTTTAAATTCAACACCTCGGAACCTTACAATACAGCCACACACTGTGCTGTATGATATCAGAACTGCCAGACAGATTCACATGGAGCCGTGTTTGACCGACGTTCATGTTCGTGCTCTGCCTGTCCTGAAGTACTGATTCAGACTGCGGAGGTACAATGAAAAGGTTAATAAAACAATGAGAAAGCACGTGCTGAACAGCGCCCTCTGCTTGCGATGCGGTGAACGCTTCTACATTTATAATGCATTTAACACCAGAGAATTAATCTATCACCTGTCTACATCTGTATGTATATATTCTATTCCGGATGATCACTACAGCCTTTTGTGAACAGTCTTACAGATACCGTCAGCCCTCGATGACCTACATGCAGCTGTCAGCTACTCTAAACACTAACTGGAAAGTAGTCACTATAAAACACCATTTGACCGCTGCATTTAAAACCTCGTTCAGTATGAGGATCCCGGAGACGTACGGCAAGTCGACTGTGGCCGCTAGGATGGGGCTATTGATACTGAGAGATAAAAAGGCAACAAAACTTTCCAGGTAGTGTTTCAAGCATTTAAATCTCAAACTATGAAAAGAGCAAGGACGTCATTAAGAATGTCTGGCAACGGTGTCGTTATGCTTTGGTTTATTATATACTAGTCATATAATACTACTGTTTTATAATGCACGTTAGTCGAGGACAATATATATCGTAATTGGTAATTATTTTGGAAAACCGGCAAGCGAATATACGTCTAACCTTAAACCAGGGCAGTTCTTTCATAGGGATTAAGGAAATACACGCCAATATATCACCGGACAGGTGAGTTTTTAACTATTGAAAAGATCAGGGGTTAAGTCAGCTTTACATGGGGTTTGACTGCTTTTTTTCTGGAGGAAGATTGGCACCGGAATAAAATACTCAGGGCTAAGTTTAAATTACTCGGGGCTATAGCCCCGGGTGATCGGTCCTAACGACGCCCATGTCACCGGGTATGATGGATATATATATAAACAAAAACGTGGCACTAAGGCGGCATCCAGCAGTAACTTTAGACGCTTCTCGGTGCTGGAGTTATGGATAGCAAAATAAGAACCGTAACGGGATCTGTCTTGCGGGAATAGAAATGGAATATGCCTTGAGGAGTCTACATCAAAAGACAAAAAATGTAGAAAGAGGTTGACCCATAGTTGCAAAAGAACAAAGCAACCTTAAAGGAAATAACATCCCTTTTGCTTGCTTTATAGATAGCGCACATCCAACATTTTAAATGTGACACCTAAAACACTACTATAGTAACATAAGCTAAGTATTATGCGGTGCTTCCAGTCACTGCCTGTAGGTGCCACGATTTGCTGGATGCCAAGGAACAACTACAGCAGGTTCATGAGCGAGGATTTTCATATGGACTCCCAAATGGAAACGAACGGGGCTAAGGGGGGCAACCAGGGACGGATTACGGACCGGGCCAGCGGGGCCGCTGTCCAGGGGCCCTTGGGGTGCAGGGGGCCCGTGGGGCCCCTAGCCCAAAACAATTTGCAATGCTTATCAACAATGTATTTTCGTTTGTCTATTTTAGAGGGCCTACATTCTTTGATCCTCTGCCTACAAGGGCCCCTGACCCTATAGGGCCTCTGATGGAAACATGGAGGGAGGGCGTTTGGCTGCCAAGGGCCCTTGAATTGTGGTGGTTGTGGTGGTGGGGGGGGGGGCCTCGCGAACGTTTTGCCCAGGGGCCCACACAACCCATAATCCGTCCCTGGGGGCAACAGCAAGTACTGGGTTGCAGACAAGATAAAGAAGCAGAAGCTATTATCAAGGAGGGGGAACTGAAACCTTAGGGGTTTTATTTGAATTGATTCTTACTATGCTAAGCCGATGAGGCAGGTGGAGGGCTTATGTGAAGTTGTGATTTATGTCTTGAGAGTCTTCCAGATGAAAACTATTTGGCCTGCATTCTCATGGCCACACAGCAATTGATCAGTTTCAGCACATTTCTATTTATTTATTTCACCCACATGTGTGTCCAGGGGAGTACTTAGAGATGATAGGGGGCTGAGTCTTTTCTGGGGAGGGGGGAGGGAGGGAGAGCTGATAGCATTCATGACTTAAGCCAATAAATACACATTTATTTAGGGAGTGCTAAAGCCCCCCTAAAATATGCCTAAAAACCAGTGGCGGAACAACTGTACACTGGGCCTTGAGGGAAAATGGACCAAGCCCCCCTCCCCTTTCCAAATTCATACCTAAGGCCTGCTTACACCAGTTGCAGATGATGAAATTTGGGTAGCCTTCAAATATCATACCCATTATGCAGTGCAATAGTTAGCAAATTAAACAAACATGCTTTCTTTTTTTTTTCGTTAAACACACAACTCAGCAATGTAGTTTCACTGCAAAACATTACAAAATATTACATTTCAAAACTGTTTTAAGTATTGTATAATTTTTTTGTGTTATGACTCCCACCATAAAGAGACTGTATACATAAAAATGACAGATATAAAAGTAACATGTTGAAATTCAAGTAAGATGTATAAGCTCTTTTATCCTCATGAAAGTTATGCATATATGTGAGATTTGCAGTTGGAGGGGGATCCTTGATGTCGCTGGGGGGGGCGAGGGCAGCTGGCCGGGCTGCCCCACCCTGTTAATGATGTCTCTGTGTGCGTCAAATATTAACCAACATATTAGATCAAAAGCTCCTCTTCTAAATATAATTGCATCCCAGTTTGCCTCACTCTACCAGGTTATGTCCTCTCTAAGCTAGAGCACACTTAGCTCTCCAGAGCAGCCCCTGTCAAGCCTCTACTAACTCACTCAGTGCATCAAAGATCCTTTGTCCTTCTGCAGAGCCTCAAGAGCCTCAGAAGGACTTTGCCCACCAAGGTCCTCAGATGGGTGTGTTCACATCATAAACTGTAAAGCACTACATCTAAATCACATTGATTTTGAGCGGTCAAGATTCAAGAATGTCCAGAGAATAGGCCGACGTCTTTCTGAATACATTCAAGTTAAATATTAAACATGCACCCAAGTTATTTCCTGTCGATTTGTGCTGGCAGGGGTGTCATAAAGGGGAGAGGAAAGTCAGGATGATTCCAAGGACTCCTGAGTGACAGGGGTGCTAAAAAATGTAAGATAAATGGATTGTTCTGGCTTAGGGGTCCAATATGATATGCTATCATGAGGCCCAAAATCTCTAGTGGCACCCTTGTGTGTTGTAACGTACTTTTGGTGTCTAAAGATGCACTAAATATAATTTAAAAACCAGAAAAGAGGCAGTGGCAACTTAACAGTATTTGATATTTGAGTACTAACTCTGACTATGTAGTTTCTTTGCAGAGGGAGTATGATTAACTTGTGATTAATGCAGTTTCCTCTTTTGCTGCAAAGTTGCTATAGTTAAACTGTGACCCAGTTAACCAGGAGGACCTTCCAGGGTTCAGTGTCAGAGGGTATATGCTGAAGCCGTGGCAACCACTAGGAAAGCAGTTTTTTGAGAAACAAAGCTCATCCAAGGTAATAGGTGATTTTAACATATTAAGTTCTGTAGAATTAGATAATATAGTAAAGCTATATTTGAAATTGTAGCTTTGTGTAATAGTAATTTATTTTAACTGTATTCATTATACATATTACAAATGGATTTTTTATTTATCTGTATGAGGGATGGGGGCAGGGTTGAGGGTGGCTGGCACGGTACTGATCTGGATGCATGACTGATTGGGCTCTCTCACGTGGGGGAAAGGGGGCGTTAACTGTGTAACTGTACACCACCAACGTTACCTATGAATATTTGGATATTAATCGTTAACTGGCCATTTGTATTCCATTGTAATCTGTTATGTAAATCCAGCCAATCCAAACTGCAAATTAAACGCAAATATTTAAATCATTATTTGATGTTCCTTCATTTTGCTGTAATATGATGCGACATAATACTGCAGGACCATAAGGTTACATAGAGCCGGCCGGGCGCTGCTGTGATTGGCCGAGCTGGTCAGGTAGCTTAGGTGCGCTTGTGGCCTCTCATATCATTTACCCCCACCTCCCTTCTGCTAGACGTAGCCAGTAAATGCCTACATCGGCTAGGAAACTAAACAAAGACAGACTTCGTTAGCGGTTTTTAACACAGAGCTACACATGTAAATGTAGTGTCTATTCATCCGATGTGCATGGTGTGATTAGTGTTTATTTTACCAGGGGTGGCTCTTCTGCACGCCATTTGCGCGCTTTAACCTGGAAAGCGGTCAGGTTCTGCAAAGCGTTTTAAAACCCAGGTAAGTGCATTAATGCATGTAATATGCCGGTGTATTTGGTGTCCACTTCTTCAGTGTTTAAAATATTTTCGCGAACAGACACGCTTGAGTTTAACACACGGGCTAAATGATATTAGGGTCCAAGGTGGGGAGGATGGAGGCCAAGGTGCCGCTGTTCGCCGTCTGCCTTGTTGCAGGTGAGACGGCATCTTCCCGCGGATCACCGCGAAATCGCTTTACACCTGCCGGCAAACGCATACTGTATTAAAATCATTAGTACAATTGTGTTGCGGTGTTAACTCTAAGGCATAATATATTTTCTGTCATTTTAACCAGGTCTTCTGACATGTGATACACAAGGTAATTAACGCTGTAATTACTGCAATTATCAGGTGTGGCTGGTTGTGCCTCAAGTATTACTCTATTTTTCCAAAACCGTCTAACACAGTTACACACATTCTGAGCTGCAGAGTAGGGGTTCCTAACCACCAGCCCGCGAAAATCTGAAAGTTTCGCGGAGGAGTTAATTTTAAAATTGCACTTTTCAGTTTTTTACCGGCACTCGCGTTCTAGCGTAAATTTGAGGGGGAAAAAATGGTAAATCGCCGATCAAGTTTGGCATGACCTACACCGGTCCACGAACATCAAAAGTTGGGAACCCCTACTGTAGAGTATGCACTTCCTGGTCATGCTGATTGGAAACACTGTGTAGTGTTTTTTTTTCTGAGTGCTTGCAGTGTGTGGCAGGAGATTCCTAGGTAACAGAATTGTCGGAGGAAATGATGTGCGGGAAGGGGCGTGGCCATGGCAGGTGGATATCCAGATGGGCAGCAGGGGTCATGTCTGTGGGGGCTCACTCATAGCCAAGGACTGGGTGCTGTCTGCTGCGCACTGCTTCCCAAAGTAGGTGCTGCCTATTTCCCTTTACATGGATGTAGAAACTTTGGTTGGGTGGGCTTCGTTTTAAAATGCAGCATTCCCCAGGCTCGCCGACATCTCGTCCTACCGGCTGTACGTGGGCAGGCACCAGCTCAGTGGCGTCAATCACCACGAGGTGTCCAGTCGGGTCCGGCGAGTTGTGGTTCCAGCAGGCTACACCAATCCTCAAGATGGCCAGGATGTGGCTCTGGTCCAGCTGGCCACACCGGTCCAGTGGTCAAACTGGATCCAGCCAGTGTGTTTGCCCAGTGATGATGCTGTGTTTCCCAGTGGGATGCAGTGCTATGTCACTGGCTGGGGCCACATCAGGGAGGGGGGTGAGTTGAGGATGCTGGCTGGGCTGATCATGAGGGCGGTTAACCCAGGAGCCGTATGAAAAGTGTCAAAATGCTTCTTCTGGTGCTACTCAGCTTAAGAGGACATTTCCAAGCCCAGTTATTCTTGGCTTTCTTCTGCAGCTAAATTTATCCTTCTGATGTTCTTGTTTTCCTTGGCTAGTGTCTCTGCCTGGCGTGGGGACCCTACAAGAAGTGCAGGTGCGCATCATCAGACAAATGTCCTGTCAGAAGATGTACCAGGTTCTGGCCTTCACCTCTGACCAAGTGGACATACTTCCTGACATGATCTGTGCTGGGTTCCCAGAAGGAGGCAGGGATTCCTGCCAGGTACAGCTTACTCCACTCCTTCTGTATGCCAGACTCTCTTCACATTTACTCTTGATTCTTATGTCCCTTACGCTGTGTCAACCCTGCCCTGTCTTGCCCCCACTCCCCAGGGTGATTCAGGGGGGCCCCTCGTGTGCCCCATGGTGAACGGGACCTGGGTACAGGCGGGGGTGGTGAGTTTCGGTCAAGGTTGTGCCCAGCCTAACAGGCCTGGCATTTACGCTAAAGTCTCCACCTTCGCCAGCTTCATTCGCAGCACGGTGCCAGAGATCCAGCTGCACAGCGCAGCCTTCCGGGCCTGGACCTGGGCCTCGGCCCTGCTCGTGCTTGCTGCTGCAGTATTGTCTTGGCTTGGATAGCATCATGTGCCATGACTAGGAAGGGCTGTTTGTGTTTATTGGGACACCAAAAGCACATAAGAGCCGAAGTGAGACCTGCCAAACTACAGAAGCTGGGTCTTTGTGTACTGCGAGTACAACGGGACCAAAACACCCAAGAGCTAATCATGTTGAATTTGATTGTCACATATTTGACTTGAGCGACTGATTGTTGCTGTCTGAAGCAACTGCAGCAACGAGGGGTCCTGCAAGGCTCACATCGAGGCGAAGCTGTTGCAGCCTACTCTGAAAACGCCAAGCAACTGAACGAGAAACCCTGCGGAGTGGAACATGGCTGCCCCCTGTTTTCAGTAAGCGCAGAGGAATGCAAAACACTAAGCAGACATTTCCAAGTGTATAGGAATGGCAGTGGCACAAGTTACTAGGGTGTGTGCTTTAAAGGGTGCGATCCAGGAAGAGGAGCCAAGCGCAGTGCTGAGGGACACAGAAATGTTTGATCGTTCCAATGTCAACTAACCTTAACTGCTTATGCTCTGAAGTGGCTAAACCAAATTTCTAAAAACATTTAAATGAGGATCAAATAAATGTCTAATTTAATGATAAACATTAGTGCCACTAAATGACTAACTCGACAACAAATGGTCTGGGAAAAGCAGATTCCAGTCCAGCTTGAAATGGTTTTACTAAAAATAGTAGTTAATGCAATGTACATTCATGCTGTATTCCCATTTTCTATGTCCTTACCCATGCATTCACATTTTTCTGAACAGAGATTGCAAACATTACCTCTGTAGTCGGTGTCATTATTTTTACTAAACTACAGTCATAACATGGAATCACACTACTGTGTCAATCAAGCCATTATGGAATCAGTTCAGTGTCCACTGTGAGCACTGGTGATCAAAGCATCAGTCTTCATGTAGTTTAAACATCTCAGGTGTCAGAAATGCTGTGTGCGTCCGAGAGGATCATGGGAGAACCCAGTTGAAGTTCCTGCTGAAGTGACTCCAAGTCAGCTGGGCTCATCCGGTGCACCTCAAGCCAATCGGAAAGCAAGGAGGCTGATAATGGGGCAGAGTCACTGTGGCTGAAGCAATAAAGGGAAGAAAGAGGCATTAGTATACAGTAAGTTCACTTACTATATCGAGAGGTAAGTCATCTAGGCTTAAGCTTTAAAAGGCCTGCTGACCTGTCCTTGGGGTCAGGCTGCTGGAGGTCGGTGAAGGACTGTGTGAGGAGCTCATCCAGGTCAAAGCCCACCCCATAGCCAGCCCCGCTGCCCTTAGGCGTGACTGAGAACACGGGAGGGAGCACGTCGTCAACCTAAGTGCATGTGCGACAAGGTAAAAGAAGTCAAGACAGCAGAACCAGAAAAACATACAGGGGCAATTACCCTGGCATGAGTTTAGCTGCACTAAATCATCATGTGACTTATTAAACTCCTCTGCTGTGTCCTTAGACTACAGTTTAAGACACAAAAAATGTTTTAAACCGAACCCAACTGCTCTTTCCTATTAGAAATAAACTGTTAAGCTGAACCACAGTTAAGCTAATGATAAATTGTTCACACACACACACACACAGAGTAGTAATCATACAACAAATGGGAAAAAACAAATAGCAGAAGGACAAATGGGGGGAAATGAAACACTGTGAACCTACCTGAGACTTGGAGAGCTGCAGAGTGACTGTGTGAATGTCAGGGATGCTGCCCCCTACTGGTTGCTCTGGGGTTGTGGACTCATGGATGGGCCGTGGTAGCACAGAAGATCCTGATGGTGGGCTTTGAGAATGGTTACTCAGGGAGGGATGAACCTTCTCCATACTTCTTGGCCTAGTAGAACTCAGATTGGGGGGCAATTTTCCATTGGTTTGGGTCGCCATGCTTACATCCCCATTGACTTCAACATGGAGTTCTTCCCCCCCAGAGGGGATGTGAATTTTATTAAGGAACACCCCAAGAGGTAGCAGCTGGTGTTGGGGGAGTGACGGACCTGTTGCTGGTCTGTCTGGCCCTGGCCAGTTCTCCATCGTGTCGTATGTGTTGCCCCCTCTGAAGTCTACCTGGTGCCGGACTGAACTGTTTTTGACTGCTGTGCAAGACCCAAGGCCGTCGATGCCCACATGGGTACTGAGCATATCCATCCTGCCCACTGGTACCTGCATGACAGGAAAAGGGAGTGGGACGGCCGGGGAGCCCCTTGGCTGGTAAAAAGTAGACAAGGTGTGGTTTGTTTTGGGGACCGTTTGATGCTGAGGCCCTTTGCTTTGTAGCTGGTGCTCGCCTGCACCATTGTTTCGCTGGCCAGAGTCCGACTCTACCAGCTGAAGCCCCTTTCCCAACAATGGCTGGATCTGACCAGCCGTTTCCACACAAAGCGTGTGGACCTGACTGTCTTTCTTCCCGGTGACGCTGTCTATGATTGGCTGAGATCTATCAGTGCAGCTGTCCATCATCCGTATCCAGCGCTGCAACAGGCTCTTGTCGTTGTCACTCAGTGGCACTCCTCTTATGGACTCAGCTGCCTTTCCGTCTTTCTTTTCCTTCTCCTTCATCTTCCTTTCTCGCTCCCTGGCTCGCTCTTTCCTCTTTCTCCTCTTCTCTTCCCGTTCTCTTTGGCGCTCTTGTGCTGTAATGGGGCGTCTTTGTTCCGACTGTGAGTTTGAGAGGGAGCAGCTTGCTAGGACTCCTCCTCTCCCCATCTCTGTGGGCAGTGACATTGAGGACCCATCTGAGAGAGAGAAAGAAACTGGCTCAGATCATCACCTTCAATCACTTTCAGGTAACATAATTCCACCACCCTTTATTAGGTTTACTTCTTGAACCCAACTCACAGACAAGACAGCTAATTTGTGTCGATATTCTGCTATTGTGCACTGATAAGCCAGCTAACTTGTGTCGATGTTGTGTCGATAGTGATTAATTCATCCATACTGAAGTACTTCATTATCTATTGATATTTGCTCTGTAGAGCAGCACTCAAGACCACCTCACCAGCTTTCCTGCTTTGCACTACCCATGACCTCATGGCGCTGTCACACTGGCTCACCTGATCTGGCCCTCTGTCGCAGGGCCGACTTTTGCAGTACTGCTTTAAGGGCAGCTTTTGTGTCATCCGAGATGGCCCCTTCCTTTCTGACCCCATCCCCCGACCCCACCTTACCCCCTCGAGTCAAAGAACGGGACAGGGACTGAGAGAGGGACTGCGAGAGGGACTGGGCTTGTGACTCAGAGAGGGTCAGTGAGTTACAGGGGCGTGAGCAAGATGGTGGGGCTTGGACAAGAGAGGATGAGGGCATCTGATTGGAGAGAGTGTGGTTCTGACTCATTGATGTAAGAGACCCTTCATTCTGAGGTGGTTCCTCTCTCCCTGGAGTATGTTCAATCGTGTGTGAGGGTGAGGTGCCTTGTGTGGAGACGGGTGTGGTCAGATCAATGGTCTCTGGTTCTGGGTGTCCACTGTCAGAGTTCGCACTCAACATATCCACATCCTGGCTTTGGGTCAATCCTGGCTGTGACTTGGTCAGATGAGGTGGGGGTTGTTTACAGAGTTTAGGGGTCTGATCTGTGAATGCTGCCTGAGACCCTGTGATGTCCGGTTCCTGCTGAAATTCTTGGCTTGGCAAATGCTGAACTGGTAACTGCCCTGGCCCAGTGGTTGGCGTGTTACCAGTGGCACCCGTACTGGCTGCAAGGGAGCCGTGCCGCTTGCTGTAAGCTGGCTTGGGCAAGAACCGGATCTTTCTCCCGCCCTTTTCTTTCTGCTGGTGGAAGTCTCGAATCTCATCCAGGATGGCCTCTTTAATCTGCTCCCTACTGAGCGGGAGTTTGTCAAACTCAAAGTCAAAGGCTGGCACACACACAGGCTCGTCGTCTGGGTCATGGTACTTGGCAAGGTAGGGGTGAGCCAGCGCCTGGGTCACCGTGATCCGCTCATGTGGGTCAAAGCGCAGCATGGCCCCCAGCAGGTCCAGGGCATTTGGCTCAGCATGGGGATACAGCGTTGTCAGAGGAATGGGTGCTCGGTGCGGAAGGCTCTGAACATATGAGCGGACCCGGTCTGCTCCTATGGCCCCTATGATCCCCTCTGGGGGTGTACCCAGTACAGAAAGGATAAGCTGCAGCTGGTGGACATAGTGCTTGCCAGGAAAGAGCTGCTTCCTTCCCAGCATCTCAGCGAAGATACAACCCACTGACCACAAGTCAATGGCCAAGCTGTAGTGGTGCAGGGACAACATTAGCTCAGGGGCCCGGTACCACCGAGTCGCTACATACTCTGTCATAAAGGAGCGGGACTCCTCGGGCCGCTGGCTCAGCCCTCGAGCCATCCCAAAATCTCCAATCTTCAGCTCACAGTTTTCATTGACCAGTAGATTGGAGGGTTTCAGATCTCGGTGGATCACATTGGCAGAATGGACATACTTGAGGCCTCTTAACAGCTGGTAAAGGAAGTACCGAGTGTGCTCTTGTGTCAGAGGCTGATGGGAGTGGATGATCTGATGGAGGTCACTCTCCATCAGGTCCAGAACCACATAGCTGTTAGGAAGACATATGGGGTGGTTATTACCATGGCAACATATGTTCCATTTTATATGGTATAAGGATGTTCCCTGAGAATCCAAGGCCTTCCAGACACTTACACAGACTTGAAGGCAGAGTGAGGTAAGGCCGGCTGCAGGATATCTTTGATGGCAATGATGTTGTCATGCTTGAAATGCTTGAGAATCTTGAGCTCCCTGAGGGTACGCTTTGCATTGGTCAGCACCTCAAAAGCATTGGGGATTTTCTTTATAGCCACCCTCTGACCTGAGATCATGTGGTATTATTGTTAGTCACACAAACAGCAAGACACTTTCACTTTTTCGATAAAGAGGGGAAATGGAAAACGGTCAAACAATACTGAGTTTTGTGGGTTTCACTTCCATGAGAAATTTTCATTAGCAAAACAGCCAGTTGAATGAACAGGTGATGTTTAAAATCCTACTCAATGTAAGGCACGTTAGCTAAAAACTTATGTTAATCAAATGTACTGTAATAATGCCATCTCACCATTGTCCCGCCTCCTGGCAGAGGAAACGACACCATAGGCTCCCGTTCCGATGGTCTCTATGATGTCATACTCCTCACCCACCTCAAACTTCACATCTAGTGAGTGGGCTTTAAGTAGAGCCAGGTTGGAGTCCGCAGTGGAGGTTGTGTCGTTATTAGACTCAGTTTGACATCCAGTCCTTGCTTGGCTGTTCTTTTTGTTGTTATCCATGCTGGTCGTCATGGTGATGCCAGATGTTGAAGACCGTTCTTTTGGAACATCAGCCTTTCCATATTCACTGGCTGACATAGTCCTGAAGCAAACATAAATGGAATTAGAACGAATATAAAACACAGAGCCATGTCCGCCAGTGACCGCGTTATGAACGGGACAAGATTAACGGAAACGGTCAACACGTGTATGGTGGCGACCACAACAAATCCACATGCTAATCTGAAGAAAATTAAACAATTAAACCGACTATCTTTATACATAATCTAGAGTTTCCATTATATAGTAAACGCGATGTATCATGTTTAATTAAACCGGCTGTATCAATATCAAATGTATATGATCAGAAGACGTTAGCGGCACATATAACGGTGTTGATTCAAAACTCTTTGCATGTATAAGCGTTCTACACCATTAACATTTCTTGCTTATTTCTACATTACTGCAGTTTAAGAAGTTGCCGTTATGGTTAATGTTTATTATTGAAAAGTTACTAAGTATCTAGCCATGTCTCAACCACGCTTGCCAAGAAAACTCGAATCCAACGGTTTCCTGCTAGTTTTCTTATAACAATTTGTTTCAGTTGTACGACAGACAATAATCGCACAATGAAGCCGGTTAAATGTGTTTTAATATGTCTCCCACGAAAACATTCGTTTATATGATGGTTCAGAGTCGAAGATTTCCTTATCTAGTTGCTATGATGAATATTTTTATTCAGTATTATGAATTTCAGGCAATATAAACTGACGTATTTCACACGGCATCGTATTAATTATAAAATATGTAGTCAAAATAAACATTAATGTAATGAAAGACAACCAACTTACGTGATTTACAGTCGGTGCATACCTATAAACAAACACATTACCTTAGTCTTTCACGCCTCTTTTCTACTTCCTAGTATTCTTCCGCGTTCACTTTGAATAGCAGGTCCTGAATCCAATAAAATTGAGAAGCCTATAAGGTTGACCAATAAGACGGCGGGGTGGTTCTCCTGGCAGTTTGCCTTTGGTCACTCTGCTTGGGCGGTGTATGGCTGAAATTTTGCTTTTCTCGTTAAAGCTCCGAAGAACAAAGTATCGCAGGGTTCACGGTTTTTCTTGATAGATGGAGAATTCTTCTTCACGTCATGTTGCATGTTAATTATGCGAAAAATTCACAATAAAACGAAATATAAATACAAGCGTGCAGTAACTCTCTTGTGCTCACAAAGATTTGATTTTTGTATGATAAGTAATACGCTCATTCTAAAGCAGAATGGTGAACGTCACAGCTGTTCAAAACGATGTTCCGTTCGGGAAAATGTTTTTAGACTACCCTGTCTTACAAAGTCCATTTTTCCTAAATTCCAGCCTGAACCGCCCACATCCTAAAAAGTTTTTTCTTCTTCCAGTGGTCTGAACAACCAATTGACTGTTGCCTAAAATGTGCGTCCAATACTCTCTAGGAGTCCGGACTTTAAACACGTAGCTGCCTTCATATAGGCTGTTAGAAACTGCAAGATTTGGTGTGCGCAGAGAACGGGCTGGAATGCTGCTTTATTAACTGCCTCGTTTAACAGTTTGTAATATAAAAAAACACACTTGTACCGTACAGGTACGAGATGGCAGGGAGGGCTCCCTGCTGGGAGCGGGCAGCCCGCTGGTCGCTCTGCACGCTCGGCATGCTGCTGTCTGTGTACGCCCTGCATGTGGAGCTTTCCCGGGAGAGAGACCCGGGCTACCGAGCCATGTGCGACCTTGGCGCCTCGGTCAGCTGCTCCAAAGTCTTCACGTCCAGGTAGGAGGTGGCGAAATACACAGTTAACGTAACACTCTCTGTGATTAAGTGGTGATTTAGGGGTATATGTGGTCAGTGACATTTGGGATTTAAATTATGAACCTATAAATATATGAACTATATTTGCGAAAGTTTCAGACAGATAAGTTTTTTTTTCTGCGATCTACTAGCTATGGCATATCCCTGAGTATTCAATGTCGTGTTACGTGGCGGTGCTCGCTGGAGGCAAACTGTGGACGTGTTCAAGAGAGCACATGATGCCACGTTTAGTGCGGCAAAGCCACACAAACCTACGTCCTGACGATAATCTACGTTGAACTGCTTAGGAATATATGTATGTATGTAATATGTACATATAACGTCTGTGCAACATTTCTACATAATCCTGACGTTTAATTTTACGATTTGTGTTGTAGGTGGGGCCGTGGCTTCGGACTAGTGCAATTAGTCTTGTCAAAAGAGAACATATTAAATCAGCCTAACAGTGTCCTGGGAATCATCTTCTACACGCTGCAGTTGGCATTGGGTCCGTGTACGTCGCCTACACACACACATACGTGCTACTGGTCCCCGACAGCGGTGCCTAATTGAATAACTTCTCTCCCTTTTTATAGGTCAGTCAGCGTCCAGCAGAGCAGCGCTGTTTCTGGTGTTTTCCTCTTGGGTTTCAGTGGCAGGGTCGCTTTACCTAGCTGGAGTGCTGCTCTTCATTCTAGAGGACCTCTGCCTGGTGTGCGTCACAACGTACCTCATCAACTTTGCTTTGCTCTACACCAACCTCAGGAGGAAAAGGGGGTTGACTTTGGCCAAAGAGAAGGCTGGTTGAGAGGCTGCAAGATAAACAGCAACAAGCATTTGCATGTGGCCATAAAGGATGAAGATGTTTCCTTGACTTTACTGTTACATTGAAACATGCATAAAGAGGAATTCAGATTCATTAATTTCCATCCTTGATTTTAAAGATTTTAACACAGTATTGTATCTTTTTGAAACCGATTTCATATAGGGCGCCTATTCTGGTTCATGGTAATCATACAGGACATTAAATAGGTATGGAAAGTAACAGGAAAGTAACACCTGCAAAATATCAATAAAACATCCCGAATTTTTGTTTTGTTCCAAAAGTAACGTACCCACTTTTAACGGATTAAACTAAGGCCTTTAAAATGCAGTATTTGTAAGTTTTCTAAGCAACACCCTATGGAAGAAGTAGTTTTGAAATAAAATATGAAGGCTCGGACCATGTCTGCTTTGTCTTTCCAGGATTTACCCAGCGGTTAGATAATGTGGTAAAGACGAGCGAGTAAACTCAGATGCTATATCTCATAAAGAGCACAGACACCTACTGCGACCATTATGTATGAAATGCCGGAGCACTCTAACTTGATGATGTCACAAAAAATCGCACTTTATGTAAACGGTAATGCGGTGTCTAAACACGAAACAATGCACTATTTTCTATGGACACCTGCTAGTTACGTCAAACTGTAAGACTGGCTTACAATATTAGATAAGTTTAATAGTCCAGAAGGTAACCTTATTTTAGTGGCCAAAACTGTATTTTTCTCTGTGTACGTGGTGCGCTTTTTTCAAAGGTCAGATAAGCAAAACATACAAATTTGAGCAGTTGTGTGTCAAAAAGTATACAACAACATTTTCATAGGTACGCATTTCTTTAGTTCAATTTGTATTGTACTGGCTGTAGCGTTTGATGTGGCGGAGCGCAGACTGCATTTACGGTCAAACGCTACACCCAGTATAATTAAAGTTGAAATCAAATTGAATTAAACAGAATTTTCTGCACGCATTTTCTTCTAATTGTGATCGCCCGCAGAATGGCCTCTGCCGAATAACCCCTCTCGGTTCCGTAGGATGGTATGATCCAGAGTTTTTAAAAGCTCCAAGCTCGCGGGGGGTGTGGCACAGATTATCCGCTGAGTGTCGTAAGGAGGGTTTGTGAATTCCCTGCAACCAGAGTATATTTCTCCGTAACATTGTGGATTATTCCAATAGCATAAAAATCAAGAACCCCAACCTGATGGCATCCAACGGTAAGAAGCATTAGTATAAAATAATGGGTCAGCGGTCAAATGACCCGCGGTTGTGGGTAGTCTGGCGCACAGGACGCTGGATGTACGGCGGCAGCAGCAGCCCGTTGGAACATTAATCACTGACGTTCACTGCCAGTGTGTGTAAAGGTTAATGTAAGCCCGTACTTTGCGTGCTAGTCTCTTCCGACGGAGCGTGTATCAATTTCCCGGTTCCCGCTTGACTAGCGCAGCGCCCGGCTTAATCCTTACCGCACACAAAGGGAGCGGAGCGTGTCAGTCCACCCGCCATTTTGTTAGCCGGCTGGCTAGCGCGCTAACGTCGCAATCGCAGTTGACATGGGGACCTGCGTCATAGCGCTTGGGTGGTTCAGTATGCCACTCGTTTTAGGTGTCTGTTCACGGATATTCAGAAACGTGCAAAATACTTCACTTAAGGGGGGACACAGGGGGAGAGACCCGGTCGGATGCGTCGGTCTCCCGGGGCGACGCTTAGCGTTAGCCGGTCGGCTAACCGCCCCCCCCAAAATGATGCCGCTCTTCTCTAACAGGGGCGTCTAAAGTGCACCCACATGAACAGACACTGGAATGCACGTCGCTTATTTGTCATTGTCTTTTTTCCGGCTTTGCCATTCACCCTGTGTTGTTAATTTGCTCCAACAGATTATTCCCAGTCTGCACCGCAGGGGTAAGTTGTATTATTATTATTATTATTATTATTATTATCTGTATGTTGACAGCTGGCATGGTCTCACGGTGCATGGAGGTTTTGTTACATCACACACTCTTGTCAGGTATGGTGCCTATGGAGGTCAGGCTAGTCAGAACTATAACCAGCCTGCAGCGCAGAGCTACAACCAGCAGAGCTACGGGGGCTACAGCCAGAGCTCGGAGAGCAGCTCCTCATCCTACAACCAGGGGGGCTATGGCTCTGGCTACGGCCACTCGCAGACAGGTGTGTGCCGCCGCTGCTGCCCTGTCCATTGCCAGCGGTGCCGGCTCGCTCCCTGACCGAGGTCGTGTGGCACAGGTGGCTACGGCTCCCAGCCGACTTCCCAGGGCTACAGCCAACCCAGTCAGTCTTACGGATCGGGGGGGTACAGCAGCAGTCAGCCACCTCAGAGCAACTACAACCAGCAGTCGTCTTACCCAGGATACGGGCAGCAGGCGTCCACCGCAGCCTCCACCACCAGGTAGAACCTGTGTGTGTTTATGTGTACTTGTCTGTCAGTGCATGCATGTGTGTGTGTAGGCAGGGCTGTGTGTGGGGGTGTGCATGTTGAGTGTCAGGTGCATCATGGGGCACACATAGCATGTGCCAGTTAGAGACCCTAACCCTATGTCATACAGCAAACTGTCTGTGTTTGTGTCAGGGAGATCATGCACACTCTGCACACACAGCCCTCCAAGCATGATATGCAGTACTGTAACTCATATATTTGTGTCTTGAGCTATGGCAGCAACTCCCAGTCTTCAAGTTACGGGCAGTCCCCGGGTGGAGGCAGTTATGGGAGTCAGAGCAGTGGCTACAGTGGCAGCAGTGGGCAACAGCAACCATCCCAGCATGGTGGCGGTGGCGCCCCCTACAGCCAAGCCCCCAGCTACAACTCGCCACCACCCCAGGCCTACGGGCAGCAGAGTCAGTACGGCCAGGGAGGGGGTGAGTGCTCTGATCTGCAGCCCCACAGTCTACTGTCAGCTAGGGTTGCAAAGGGCTGGAAAATTTCTGGAAATTTTCCTGAAACTTTCCGTTCCATGGGAAGTTAAGCTGGGGAATTTTGGAAATATTCCACATTAGAAACTTTCCATGGGAATTAACGGGAAAGTATGGGAATTAACAAGAATATTCCTAGAATTTTGCAACCCTACTGTCAGCCCAGTATGGTGCCGGCGGCAGTGTACCTCAGTGTTCCATTGCTCCTCCTCCTCCTTTCAGGTTACGGGCAGGATGCCCCTCCCTTGGGGGGCAGTGGGGGTGGCGGTGGATACGGAGGCCAGGATGGCAGCTTCGGCGGCCAGGATGGCCGTGGCGGCCGTGGACGTGGAGGCGGAGCTGGAGGCGGATTTGGGGGCAGGGGTGCAGGTGGCTTTGACAGGGGAGGTCGCGGGGGCCCTCGGGGACGAGGAGGCATGGGGTAAGTGTCACCTTGGCCATGGGATGCCTTACTGCACACACCGATGCTGCACTGTGGTGATAGATAGGCCCGCAGCCGCATACAGCACAAACACTGAAATGCACTGTAAGCGCACTGAAGGCCGCGGCGAGCCGACAGCTGGGGCTCCTCTCAGAGGGCATCAGTCTTGTAATGTTTTCTGTCACACTGAAGGGAGCTGCTTTAAAAAAAGAGAAAAAGATCTGCCTAACGGAGCTCATTGTGCACAATCCCAAAAGAAATCAATACTGAATGGAAACAGGATGTAATCTTGTGAGTTGCCGGACGATTTAGATCTGGTGGGAGCATTTAAGACAAACATAAGGTCTGACACTTGTGGTTGTTAGGTTGTCCTGGTGTCCGAAGGAGACCACGTGAAAACCAGCCTCAGGTGTGCATGCACAAGCACATGTGCCGTCATGAGAGTTTCTCGGGTTATGGAGTGAGGGGACTTGGGACATACAGGCATGGCAGCCTGGGATGTGTACCTCCCGGCGGTGTGTGGCCTCCCTGCTTGTGATGTGTACCTCCCAGTGGAGTGTGGCCTCCCTGCTTGGGATGTGTACCTCCCGGCGGCATGTGGCCTCCCTGCTAAGGATGTGTACCTCCCGGCGGCGTGTGGCCTCCCTGCTTGGGATGTGTACCTCCCTGCTTGGGATGTGTACTTCCCGGCAGCGTGGGGCCTCTCTGCTTGGGATGTGTACCTCCCAGCTGCCGTGGGGCCTCCCTGCTTCAGAAGAGGGTTCATTCTGAATTTAGGAGCCACGAGGATGTCCACTGTGTGACTGGTCTTGCACGCTTTCCTGCTTCCTTTCATAAACGGTGGATTTTAGGAAGCACACAGTTCAGGAAACACGCAAAACGCCTCTACGTTTTATTGATTGGTATGTGTATATACACTGGGTGGTAAACCCCAAATCTCCCTTCCACAATCCTGTCTGCAGGTACACACACACACACACACACACACACACACACACACCCCTGGATATGACTAAAGAAGTGTTTATGTCAATATAACTGGTTTAGTGTGTAAAATGGAGTGTAAAGTTACTGAAATGCCAACCATATTTTAACAAGAAGCAAGCTGGAGTCAGTTGGTGAAGCAGTTCAATCAGACTGCGTATTCTGGTTATGCAGTTGCTTTTTTGTGCCTTTCTTATTGTTTTTCATTGCTTTAATCAATCTTTGCATCTTCTCCTAGGGTTTTTTTTTGTTTAATTTTATTTTTTTCCTCTTAGAGGGGCACCTAATGGTCAAGATGTTAGTAAGTGACAGTGGAAAGGGGAGAAAATCTCATGTGTTGCTAAACACTAAAACCAAATTTGGGGGGACTTCTTTTCCCAAGAAAATGGTTGATTCAGAAAAGGTTAAAACAAAAGGGTGATTGTTAGAAGTGGAACATTTCCTTGGAATGCTTCCTTGGCCTTTTTCCTGAAAGAAAAAAAAATGTGCAGTCCAGGTCAGCCCTTTCCTTAGATGGTGTGCTGGACATCAAAGCTTGGGTGACTTTCACTTACTGCTGATACATAAATATAACAACCCAAAATGGTCTTAGGAGTGCACTCAGCCTGGGTTATAAGATGGTATTTAATGCACCTGTATTCCCAAATAGTATTAATGTCCCTCAAGTATCCCTGTGCAATTCAAGGCTACAGAAAACTCTAAAAGGGAAAGGTGGCTTTGTCACCGTACTGGTAGAGCCAAGATAGTAGGTAGACTTCAGAAGCAAAAGCTTGGATTTAAAATGCCTGGGCTTGAGGGAGGAAGAGTCTTTGAGATGGTGAAGAGAAGGTGGGGCGAGGCAGAGAAAGTTCAGCATGGAGTTTATGAGAGGCCCCGGGAAGGGCCCCCGGGAAGGGCCCCGGGACGGCAGCCTTCAATGCGTCTCGCTTTTCTCTCCATCAGAATGGGCGATCGAGGAGGATTCAATAAGTTTGGTGGTAAGTGACACACTTTCAAAAGAATTGCGGGTTGAGCAGAAGACAGCTGGTGGGGTGGGGGACCGGAATGAGCCCGGGTGGCCGGATGGGAACAAA